TCTTTCAAAGCCTCCGTGTCTCCTACTGGCCTCTCCAGGTACATTTGATCACAGTCTGCCTTTTTGTCTCCCTCTGTAGAATTCCCCAGCAGCCACCCTTTGCTCGATGCACTAAGCTGTCCTGCTCTCTGCTCTCAGCATTGCCTGAACTTTTCTGCCACCATGAGTTAGCTCAGGCTCATCATAAAACAAGACATGCTCTTGGTTTCTTCTCTACCTGTGAAAACCCTGTACATCCTTCAAGGCCTACCTCAAAGTGATTTTGCTATCTATGTTTATTTTCCTTCAACCCAACTACTCCTTTAAGCATTTGTCTATTTATTTAACAAACCCCCACACTTCTGGGGTGTAATAATAAACAAGCAAGTGAGTAACCTTGAACTCATACGTACCCCCTACGAGCCTAGAACTGCTTTCCATTCCACTTGGGATAGAGGGTGTATAGTATGCAAATATTGAATACATTCATTTGGTGCACAAAGACTATTTCACAAACATTTAATATGTTTCTACTATATGTCAGATTCAGAGTTTGGCAATAACATGTAGATAAAATAGACAAATTAACAGACAAAATACAGTCTGTTAAGTACTCCAATAGAAGTAACCACAGGAAATTTATAGGAGTGGTACTAATTCAGGTGAGTTAATGAATGGATGAATATGTGATGAATATTTTTTTTTTATTTCAGCATATTATGAATAATTTATCTTAATTCTCTAGAGCTCCCTTTAGTATTCTGCAATCTGCCTTATGGGTAAATCACCCTGAAAATCTTCTGCTGTAACTACAGTCAGCGTCCTAATTTATGCCTTTGCAGTAGTCCCTAATGACACTCAGGTGGATACGATGTAATTCTAATGAATCCTGTACACCTGCTTTCTCAGATGCATCATCCTGTGCTTTAACCACTACATGGAATGAGGTGCAGTTACCACATTAAACATTAATTTGGGAATTTAAAAACATATAATGTTTATGCATTATATTAGTCTAATATTAGTTTCACTTACAGATGAAATGTATTTAATGCTTCTGTTATCTATGTTTCATTTCTGTGCATAATTTTAACACTTTATTAGTTTACTTGGTTGTTTTTACTTGTGGTGATTTAAAACAACCTCCCTTTTTGAGCACTTTGCATAAAGAACCTCAAGTTCTTATTTTTCAGGACTTTTTCTGTTTATTGGTCTTCCCACTAAAAAAAAAAAATACTTTTCTTTTTTTATTCTTGCCTCTTTTATTTTGTCTTTTACATTAAGGAAGCATCTTGAGCCTGCAATATGCTAAGCACTATGATCTAGTAGGTATTTTAAACTGGACACACCCTCAGGGGGATAATTTCATGCACTTCAAACATAATCCAGTTACTCAGTGTCATTGTGTTGTAAGAGGTCAGACCACGAACAATTCAGACTTCAGGTCTTTCATGATGTACTGCAGCAGAAATTTAGTAGGGACTACTCAACTAAATTGTCATATAACAAACAATCAAATGAGACCTACACTTCAATTTAGAAGTGCTTCTTTAATTGATCAGTTTGGGTTTTTTATGCCTTGCCATTTTGTGTTTATTGAACACCTACTGTGTGCCAGTCATTTTCTAGGTGCTATCATGTAAAAACAATAAATAAACATAATTAATAGGTAGGAGAAGAAAACTAATTAAGAGAGGGCATGGAGAGTCATAACCAAGGGAAGAAGTATAATATTCTGTAATATATAGGGTGGAATATTTTTGTTTATTTGTTTTTAAGAGACAGGGTCTTGCTCTGTTGCCCAAGCTGGAGTACAGCGGCACAGTTATAGCTCACTGTAACCTCAAACCCTTGGGCTCAAGCAATCCTCCTGCCTCAGCCTCCCAAGTAACTGGGCCACCACACCCAGATAATTTATCTTATTTTTTGTAGAGGTAAGGTCTTGCTGTGTTGTCTGGGCTGGTCTCAAACTCCTGACCTCAAGCAGTCCTCCTCCCTTAGCCTCTGAAAGTGCTGAGATTACAGGTGTGAGCTACCATGCTCCACCATATATAGGGTGTTTCAATAAAGTGTCTCTAGTGAGATACATTTGAGCAGAGACCCAGTTGAAGCAAGAAAGTGAGTCCTTTGAGGCCTGTAGACTCCTGAGGGGAGCATTCTAGAAAGAGGTGGCAGCAACTGCCAAGCCTTCACATGCTCAAAGGACAGAATGGAAGCCAGTGTGGCTAGAGTAGAGTGATCAATGCAGATGGTAGGGAATTGGAGCAGCGAGAATGTGAGCAGGGACCTCATGTAGGATTTGTTGGCCAAAGCATGGAGTTTATAGGCTATTTTGATTGAGATGGAAAGCTATTGGAGGGTTCTTAGTCAAGGAGTGACATGTGATCTGGCAGATATTTTAAAAGATTTATTATTGAGTAGTACTGGTTTTCTTTTGCTGAGTAACAAATTACTACAAATTTAGTGGCTTAAAACAACACATATTTATTATCTCACAGTTTCTGCAGGTCAGGAGTTGGAGAGGAGGAACTGTGTAGGTAGGTTTTCAGCTCAGAGTCTCACAAATCTGAAAACAAGGCATCCCATTTGAAACTCAGGGTTCTCTTCCAAGCTCATTCAGGTTGTCAGCAGCATTTGCTTCCTAGAGGTTGTAGGACTGAAGTCCCTGGTTTTTTGTTCTTTAGTTGGTTGGTTTCTTCTGATCTTAAGCCTGGGTACACTCTCAGCTCCTAGAGGCAGCTCTCAGCTCTTAGCCACGTGACCTCCTCACAACCTCACAATAAGTCACTTCTTCAAAATCAGCAAGAGAATCTCTCACACTTTGAACCTCTCTCCAATTTGCTAAGATGGAGTCTTCTATTACATAGCATAATCAATTGCAGCAGTACCTTTGCCATTGAATATAATTAATCAAGAGAATGACTGTGCCATCATATTCACAGGTCCTGACCACCCTTAGGCAGAGGGGATTGTACAGGGTGGGCACATAAGGGGGTGGGAATTTTGGGGGCCAGCTTATAATTCCCCTTACTATTAATATTAATACATAAGTAGAGAATGGAATTGTGAAAGAATGAGAGAGGTCTCTGAAAACCAGTTAGAAGGCACTAGAAATGTCTAAGCCAGTGCTTCCCCAAATGTAATGTGCATATGAATCTCTAGGGCATTGTGTTAAAATGTAGATTCTAACTTCATAAGGCTACATAGTAGAGGTCTGACTCTCCTAATGATCTCCTAGTTGTTGACAATACTGCTTGTGGAGTAACAAGGTGTAAGCAAATGATGACAGTGACTTGGGCTAAGGTGGTAATGGTATAGATAAGAAATGGTCTGATTAGGATATATTTTGCAGGCAGACACAAAAGAGCTTGCTGAAAAGGAAACAGAGGGATGAGATGACTTCTAAGTTCAGGGGATAGCAAACACTATAGGAAGATTATTTTAGAGCCGAAATCAAGGGTTCAATTTAGGATATGCTAAGTATAAAAGATGCCTTTTAGAATCCAAGTGGAGAGGATCACAAAATGCAGTGGAAAGTAGCAGGTTTATACATCATATGCAGTGTTATTGAAGACTTAAAATTTTTATGTTTCTGTGTACTACAATGAAAAGGACCTCATTGATTTCTGCTGTAGTTTCTCTCTTTATATCTCTTGCATTGGTATTAGTAAAATAAGCAGTGTTTTGGTATTAGTAAAATAAGCAGTGTTTTCTTGTTCCCATGCCAAAATTCCTTACAGTGAAATCAACATATCATTACTCAAATCATTAAAACTATTTCTAGAAGCCAAAATATGCACCACTGTGCATATTTAAAGCATACTATACTCAAACACTCTGTAGGAATAGATTTTAAAATAATTTTCAGCACCTATCAATTCTGGTAGATGCCTCACTATGAGATATATTATCAGGTTTTCCCTGACTAATTAGGCAGCTTCATGGTGTGACTAATTATTATTTGTTTTCTGGGTGAAATTATGCCAAGTTAACCTTGTTACATTATGAGAAGTGGCCATTAGATCAAGCTTGCATAAAAGTTAGTCCTTACTGACTCCCTTGTCACAAAAATAATATGGCATAGACTAAGATTGTATTGAAGGTAAGTTTCCTAGTAATTTTCCTAAACCTCAATCATGTAAAATTTTGGCCTTATCTAGTCTCATTTTCAGAAAGAAAAGCATTAAAAAGGATGTAAGCTAAAAACTATGTTGCCACTCTGCTCTTCCTTGTGGTGGCTGTAGAAATGCTAGAGTTAAACCAGAGAAAAGTTTAAGAGTTGAACTTGAAACATTCCAAGTATTTTAATAGAAATTTAAATAGAAAATAGCTATGCTGAGCACTGTTTGGGTGCTAAGTTCAGTCCAGTGAAATAAGGTTACTGGAGATGGTTCATGGTTTCAGGTAGACACTAAATAAAAGCAACAAAGGGCAGTTTTGGATTAGAGAACTATTTATTTTGTGGAACAGGTGAAAATTCACTTTATTGTAAGCAAAAATCTTTACAGAAAGCCCTGTTTTGTTTTTCATATTGTTAAATAATAAAACTTGGTAGGTTTTATGCCCAGAAGAAAAATGGGGGGAGAGATATATCAAGGATATATCAAGGATAGCCTGATGATTATGTTTTTGAAAATAAGACCCAAAATAGATGGAAATTAAACCAAATCATTCAAGGTGGAGGTCAGAAGGGGGCTAACTGCATGGAGAATGCTAAAACAGGCTGAACTTCACTCCTACATCTGGACTATTTTCAATCCCTGAGCTAGGACTGACTCCCTTATATGACAATTAGGCTTTCTATTGATTTGGAAGAATGTGATGGGTGAACAAAGTCATTGTTGAGCCCTGAACTTGGCATGGTTCTTCTATGGCATAATTATTTTATGAATTAGTTCAAATATACCATAATTTTTACTACCATTGTATCTATGTTATGTAATACACTAACTACTTTATAATATAAAATTGACCTACATGGTAATTTAGAAAACTAACTTCTTACTCTTTCTTTATCCTAGGTGCACTGAATCAAAAGAATTGGGGAAAGAAATATCCAACATGTAATAGTCCAAAACAGTCTCCTATCAATATTGATGAAGATCTTACACAAGTAAATGTGAATCTTAAGAAACTTAAATTTCAAGGTTGGGATAAAACATCTTTGGAAAACACATTCATTCATAACACTGGGAAAACAGGTAAAATGGTTGCATTCTATTTGCCTTAAACATGTTTTTTGGACCTAGAGTATGTTTAGATTAGTTTCATCTCATTTTCCTTTGAGTAGTATACTATGAACTGGATAGACGCTATAGGTATAGAAGAAACCAAATGAAGCAGAGAAAATGAGAAATGTAGACAACATTTTGAAAATTTCTATAGAAATATAATGGCCAATATCATGTCATGTTTTTCAGTAATATAACAATAATGATGATGATACTAGAAGATGGGATAATGTAATTTATAGCTAATGTAATTTAATAATTTCATAACTGGTCAGTCAATTAGTCTTAGGATTTATTTTTTCTTGAACATTATAGCTTGATCTTTTCTGGCCAGCTTCATGTTATATTCTGTATTTGGATATGAAAACAAGTAATCAACTATAATTGAAAGTTAAGAAAATAAATTACTAGCCTCTCTATCTGGAAAGTTTAAAGTTGTATACTTTCCTTAGGAAACACTAAGTGCCTTTCTAATGAGATTATCATTTTAAAAAAACATGCAAAATATAATACCATGATCAAGTGGGCTTCATCTCAGGGATGCAAGAATGGTTCAACATATGTAAGTCAATAAATGTGATTCACTACATAGAAGAAAAAACAAAGACTATATGACTATCTCAATAGATGCAGAAAAAACATTCAACAAAATTCAGCACCCTTTCATGATAAAAACTCTCAACAAACTAGGCATAGAAAGAATATACCTCAAAACTATAAAAGCCATATATGACAAATCCACAACCAACATCATACTGAATGGGGAAAAGTTGAAAGCATTCCTACTAAGAACTAGAAAAAAGACAAGGATGCCTTCTGTCAACACTTCTATTCAAAATAGTGCTGCAAGTACTAGCAAGAGAAATCAGGCAAGAGAAAGAAATAAAGGGTATCCAAATTGGAAAAGAGGAGATCAAACTATAGCTTTTTGCTAACAATATATTATATCTAGAAAACTCCAAAGACTCCACCAAGAAACTCTTGGAATTGATAAATTTAGCAAACTCTTAGGTTACAAAATCAATGTACACAAATTAGCAGCATTCCTAGCTACAAATAAAATAAAATACCTAGAAATATACTTAACCAAGGAGGTGAAAGATCTCTACAAAGAGAACTATAAAATACTAGGAAAGAAATTGCAGGTGACTCAAACAAATGGAAAAACATATGATGCTTATGGATTGGTAGAATCAACATTGTGTTAAAATGTCCATACTCTCCAAAGTAATTTACAGATTCAGTGCAATCCCCATCAAAATATCAACATCACATTTCACAAATCTAGAAAAAAAAATTCTACGCTTTTGTTTGGAACCAGAAAAGAGCCCAAAAGCCAAAGCAGTCTTAAGCAAAAAGAACAAAGTTCGAGGCATCACGTTACCAGACTTCCAACTATAATACCTGAAAAAAAAATTTTTTTAAATCCAGTAAGCTCTACATGCACAAAATAATTTCCAAAAAGTAATGCTTTTCATTTTTGATAATACATTTTGAACAAAATTATATACTGAGAAGTTATGTAAAAGTAAATATGCACATAGGACAGAGATTAGGTAAATATTCAAAATTATAATAGTAGCTCTGTTAGTAGTTTTATCAATAGTGAATTTTTTCTCTGTTTTCCATATTTAAATATTATAATTATTTGAATATGATTTAATTTCAAATTTCATAAAGGTAGATGTTTTTCTGCATCGTTGCCTGATATGTAATAAAAACTCAATAATTAAGAAAATTATTTACATTATGTTATTAATTAAATACATAAAAGTATATTGTCCCAAATCTTGACATTTTCATTACCAGTTTGAAGGGTGTTACAAAGCAGTATAAGTGATAAATAAATGTCATCTGTCATTGGTACCAATATTGTTAATGTGTTTGTCATTATTATTATTGTTGTTATTATTAATGGAAGTTTGTATCCTTCACTGGCTGAAGAATATGTTGGATTCAGTCCCTGATGCCAACAGTGATTTCTATTTAATGGAACAAACACCATTTAAATCTTATTGAGAGACATCAAAATCTTGTGTTGAGCCCTCAAACGAATCATTATAAAATGTAGTCAGATAATATGTGCTATGTCACTTATATAAGGGAGTTTATAATTCTGATGCTTGCCACTCAGGGTTCGAACATGAGATGGCTAAAACCCCTTCTCAAAAGGAATGGGTTTCCCACTTTCCTTGCTATATCTGGGGACACAGGTTCTGAAGCTTGATGAAGCCTGAGATGATGCTTGGAGGTCTTAGAAGACAGGACAAAAGCAGCAACCTGATAAGGAGTAGAAAGAGGCTGCAAGGAAGAAGGTGGAAGCATGCCCAGAAGATTTGTTTACTTTCGATCCTTCTGTCCTTCTCCCTATACTCCGTCTTCTCACCACCATCACAAACCTTAGGGAAGTAGAGCTTTTGAGGAATGGCAATCTCAGGACACCAAACAGGGCAGGTGGACTGGCTGTCTTCTGCTCTTACAGTCATAAAGTAGTTGGGGCCGTCAGCTTAGTTTACATTTGTTGCAATAAGATACATTTAGTATATTGCGCAGAGCTACAATGTTCAGCTTCCAAAATGGTGAATTAATATTGTTTTAATTTATCAAATAAATACTTTTCTTAATGTACCTTAAATACTAACAGAAGGAAATTTAGTTGAAATTTATAATTTGATTTTTTGAAACTTAGGTGCAATTTTATTGTTTGTTTTTTTTAGTGGAAATTAATCTCACTAATGACTACCGACTCAGCGGAGGAGTTTCAGAAATAGTATTCAAAGCAAGCAAGATAACTTTTCACTGGGGAAAATGCAATATGTCATCTGAAGGATCAGAACATAGTTTAGAAGGACAAAAATTTCCACTTGAGGTAAGTCAGTAGTTCCACTAGTTACTACACATTGAGTTATTTATTTAGCATATAATTTGATTAATTTTAATTCAAATTTTATAATTTATATAGTTATATTTTTGTGGCTTGATTAACATCTGCCTTCCTTACTAGACTGAACTCACTGAGCAGAAGACCCATCTTTGACCTTTAACCAGTTCTATAATTCCAATTATGTAAAACATGAAAACTAATTAAATAGTGACTCAGTATAAACTCTGAGTCAAATGGACTAGATATGAATCTTGGCTCCACCATTTGGTTGTTAGTTACATGACATAACATTGTACAAATTATTTAACTTTCCTAAGCTTCCATTTCTATTCTGTGAAATTGACATAATAGTAGTAGTACCTGCTTTACAAATTTATTATGGGGGTTAAATGAGAGAATGAATTATTATTCTTATAAAAGTAATTAAAGAAAATCACGAAAATGTTAATAGTGATTTCTTCTGGGTGATGGCATTATAGATACCTCTTATTTTTTCCTTTAAAATCCTCAGATTTTCTAAAGTACCTATAATGAAACTGTATTACGTTTATAATTCAAAACAGTTGTTGATAATAAAAATAAGACTAGGATAAATTGTCTCTTAAAGGACTAAAAAGAGTTTTTGAAATGTAGATATGCACATTCACATTTATGGCTTATAATTTGGGGTGGGTTTTTTCTCTGTTTTTGGTCTAATAAACATCCTTAAAGAAAAACACATTTAATAAATTTGGTTTGTCCAAAAAATGTCAACTCATTAAGCACATAACATCTCACTTATAAGAATAGCTTTCTCACAGAATGACCTGTTTGAACAAGGATGAAAATTAAGAAAACCCCATCAACAAGAAAAACCCTAAGTAATGAAAATAAATGGTACAGAATCTGTGCACTAAACCTCAGTCGTGTTATTCAAAAAGCCTTTCAAATCATCTACTAGAAGTATTGTCTGTTTGTGTTATCTGCAAGCCACATGGTAGCCACAAAATAAAAACCTATGATAGATAAATAAAAAATAAAAAGCAAGACATTAAAATATACTACCAAAGAAAATCATTTTTACACAGAAAAAGGCAGGCAGGAAGGAAGGAAGGAAGGAAGGAAGAAAAGAAGGACCAACAAAACATCCAGAAAACAAATAACAAAATGTTTGTTTTTAAAAAGTACTCTCCATGTAATTAGGCAGGCAGGGAACCCGAGGAACATCCTTCAATGGCTCTTTTATTCTCCTACATCTCATAAACAAGCCTGCTCAATTATGCCCCCAAATGATGTGGGAGATAGAAAATTTTCAAAATACCACTTGTCTCCTACTTCGATTATTGTGTTAATAATTATTAGAGATCGTTCATCATATTACTTTCAATTTCCTACACTTCTCATACTGTCTTGCTTCAGACGCCCTCCCCAGACTGGTCCCTGTGATTCAAGTCACATATGTCCATCTCTTCTACCTTTCACCTGGAAAAATGGTGCTCATTCTACAGGGGTCAGCTTAGAAATGCTGTCCCTGAAAAGGCTTTGGTGACCCACCCCAAAGTAGGAGCCACTGCCATCCTCTGCTTCATAGTTTCTCTTTCTCCCATCAGAGAACTAACCACACTTTAATGTTCTCCAAGGCTTTCTACTCTTATCTTAAGGATGCTTCTAACTAGCTGAGTTACCTGATTTCTAAGCCTGTGACATGAGAAGCACCAAATTACAGATGGGAATAGAGGCTGTTACAGTCAGACACCTATATAGACTGAAGTAGAAACGAACAAGGAATAGCCTTACAGCAGGAGAGAATTAAAACATGAAACATTAAACTCTTCTAGTATTTTTTAGAGGCTGAGAGTTCTTCAGAGTTTTAATATTAATAGAGCACAGTATGATAACATCTAAAAATGGTAACTCTGAACCATATACACTCAAGAAAGAATGAAACATATTTGAAAGAATTTCAGCAAAATAGTTAAGATGATAATTTGATAATTGCTCTAGTAAATTTTACTTCATTGTACCCTGGTAATCTCAAAGGGGTAATTTCTGGGTTCTACATAGGACTTTGTATTTTCTTCCTCACTGAAGGATGAGAAATGATAGTAAATGTAGTTGTATATATATATGTAATTGATAAAATATTTTGAAAATATACAGAACGTGGAATTGCACACATTATAGAATTTTTCAGTTGGTCAATTGTTTTGTCACGCCTCTTTGCTGATTTTTGTAAAGTCTTTGTATATCATAAAGCTATCATTGTTACATTTCTAGATGCAAATCTACTGCTTTGATGCAGACCGATTTTCAAGTTTTGAGGAAGCAGTTAAAGGAAAAGGGAAGATAAGAGCTTTATCCATTTTATTTGAGGTAAGATTGACCACTAACTTAATTCCTTTGTTAGTCACGTTAAATATTGATGCAAAATACCAAGACATGTTTTCTGGCATATAGAAGAGCTCACAAGTAGAATAATAACTAGTGATCATGTTTTTTAAAACATGACCCTTGTTTGGTATTTTTAAAATTGGACTCTTGTATTCCTTACTTGGGCGGGTCTCTTACAGCCGGAGCAAAGTGTTCTAAGTACACAGACTTCCATACTTGCACATACAAAGCATCATATTGTGTAGCAATAACTCTGAATCCTAACATTTTAAAATTTACTTTTCTTAGTGGAAAATGTAAAACAGTTTTTAGTTTTGTTTGTTTTTATTTGGCTATGAAAAAAATGTGTTTGGAACCCATTATTTTTGAATAGATGTATTTAAAATGGAATTCATTAATGTTTACATTTTTACCGAACAATTTATCAAATATTTTATCCTATTTTTAGAATGTCATTCTTCTTTAACAGGTTGGAATCGAAGAAAATTTGGATTACAAAGCAATTATTGATGGAGTTGAGAGTGTTAGTCGTTTTGGTAAGCTACTTGGAAAAATATTTCTCTTCAAGATCTACTTTGGATGAATATGAACTTTTACAATATGAAAAAAATCACTTGTTCCAAAAGATAGAAAGAAAGCAGTATATTTTTTAAGAGGAGCAATCTCTTCTCACACTTTATGAACTATAGATTTATTACCAAATAAAGAACCATTTATCAGAAAATTCTGTTACATAAAAATCATAAAATATTAATATAATTAGGAAGTTGAAGTTTTCTAAATTTACTCTGGAAAATAATTATATCATGTATTTAAAACATATTTATCTATTATATCTCTGCATAGTACATCTCTTAAATTCTCTAACTTCTAACCTGAAGCCATTTGATTTTATAAAAATCACATTTCAAAGTAAAAAAGGAATATTACTCAACTTAAAATTTCTTTCCTGGTAGTTTCCTTGATATCCTTTGCTTTACCAATATGAGGAGAAAAGAGTTTTGAAATAAGGTGAATGCCTACATAGAACAAAATGCAGTATGCTTTGACATTGTTCTGCCTGCTATCTCTCAGATCTTGTAATTTGTCACAACAAATTCTTTTGACAACCTTGGCAATAGACTGCAAACTTGGTAGTATTGTTATTTTATTTTTATGAAGCACCCCACACACGGTATTAATGCTGCTTCTAGTTACCAATAAAATGAGGAGTATTCCTCTCCAGGAAGCTGCAAAATTTGAAATCAGGAACAAGACTCACATAGATCCTTTTCTTGAAAGCAGAAGCCTAGCCAAGGATTGATTTATCTTTGTCAATTACATGTGAGGATCTGAATTGACCAAACTTTTCAGAAGTCAGAAATATGTGAACTCCTGCAGTGCAGCTTTCATTTCTTCGGAAAGGTACAATCAAATGCAAGATGAAGCTGTTACCTCCCTCCATCCACCCAGATTGCAGAATTCAACACTGAATGCCATAAGCCACACTTAATTTTCCTCTCATGGAGTCAGAAAGTGGATTCTATCCAGACTGAAGGAATGTAGCTATTATAGTTTGAATTACTACACTTAAAAAATGTATAAAATATGAATTCTGAGTGTTCCAGGTCTTGTACCAGCCTGTGGGGACAACAAAAGGGATGTTAACACTGGGTTGTTAACGCCAACTTGGTAACTGTGGGACCTTGGCCACTTTCTCCTAAGGCCTCTCTACTTTCGGGGGCAAGGGGTGTCTCTAGAAGGGTGCTCATATAATCTTAGGAATAAATTTGCTCATGTTCTTTGGCTGAAGTTTTCTTTTTAATATCTATTGTCTATAAGCCATTGAGGGAGGTACTTTATCAGAGACACTGCAACCATAATACCCTTCCGGAGAATATGGACTCCCTAACGGCATTATTCTGCCTGTCTCCTGGCTCTTAATTTGGAAGCAGAACTAATAGTTCTTGGTGAGAGTGGAGACAGACACTAGTCTTCCCTCCTTTATCCTATTTCTCTCTCTGTCCAGCTAATTGTGCACCAACTTCCTACCTTCTTTTTTATGAAAAAACAAAATCCCCATGCCTATCAACTCACCCATTTGGATACTTAATATTTCAATATACTCAGCATGGACATCTGCCCAAACTAAATAAATCGAGTCTTTCTAAAGTTAAACATTTCCATTTTGGAAGTTCTTGAATTAAATCTGGTCCTATGTCAGACCCTAGAAAACCCCTACTGCCCAGTGAGCTGCCCAGTATTGGCTGCCAGCCATTGCTGTTGGGAACCTTGAGCACTGAAGGCAAGACTATCTTTAAACAGTGAGTCTAGAACAGGCATCCTCAAACTATGGCCCACACCGAGGCCATTTATCCAGCACGCTGGGTGTTTTTGCCATCGCTGCCTGTCCTGCTTAGCAGCCGACTTGTCCTGGGCCCACAGTGCGCATGTGTGGAATGTGCGCTGCACTCTCCAACGGCCCTCCAATGGTCTGAGGGACAGTCAACTGGCCCCCTGTTTAAAAAGTTTGAAGACCCCTGGTCTAAAACCTAGCTAAACTCCCAAATCTTGCTCTATATTTCCATATAGTGTGAGTTATCCAAAAAAACCACAATACTTTTCAACATTATTCAGATTATAAAATCCATCTTATTACTCTGTGGGCTGGTTGCTCTTTTCCTATGTTCCTAAGAGAAACCCATGTCTCATTCCATCACTCACCCCTCTCCTTCCCTTCCTTCCACCATACCTACTCCTTGTTAACAAGGATTGTTCTATGCATGGAGTGAAGTGAAAAAGGGGGTGATGTTGCATCAATACAAAGACAATACATTAATATTTCCCAAGCAGAGTCCACAAAAACGTTAGTTGAAATCTTTCAAGTTGCAAGGAAGAGAGACACACCCCAGGTAACATCATCAGTCATTTTCAAATAGGAACTCTCACCAGAATGACCTAAGGTGCTTTCTTAATCACAGATTCAGCCTAGATATTTCTATATTGAAAAATCCTCATAGGCAACTTTGATGTGGCTCATCTTAAATATCATTGTCCTAAGTAATAGAAGGTAGTTTTAAGTATTTAGCATCTCTTCTTTAGTGCTTGGCCCTATTGTGGTATTTGTCTTTATCTGCCTGTCTCTCTTCCTACCTATCTTTTCCCCTCTCACTGTCAGCCTCCACATGGAAAGATCTGATTAGTTGTTGCTTAATCATCATTATATATTCAAGCATATAGTGGTTGCATGAATAAATGGACCCAGAGAAAGCATCATTGGCTCAGGTGTGAATCATTCTTGTGTTAACAGTAAGTGAGGTTATTCAGATGAAGCACATGCTTTTTTCCAAAACAAAAACAAAAAAACCCCAAAACATCATAGTCCAGTTTTCTCAGAAGACAATGGTGTAATTGAAAAGTACTATTGTAGCTAAAAAGTCTTGCGATATATAAGACAAAAGCTTAGGACATGTGTGTAAGTAACAAAAAAAATGTGATACAAAATAGTTAACAAGTTCATGAGAGAGACCAGATGACTGCTATTGAGATTCATAGGCAGGAAGATAAATTCCGTATTAAGAAGAAGAAAGGGAAAATCAAAGCCTTTCTTCTCGTTCTTTCCCTTCCTCTTAACTTTTTTCCCCTTTAATTTTGTTCCCAATTTTTTTTTAGGGAAAAAGACAGTCATTTTATGAGGAGAAAGCAGTCAATTCATCAAAAAGATATAACAATCATAAAAGTTTATATACCTAATAATTGAGTTTCAAAATGTACAAGCAAAAGCTGACAGAACTGAAAAAATAGACAAATCCACAATTAAAATTAATTTCAAAATTATTCTCACAATAATTTATTTTTAAAAGTAACCAAAAAGATCAGTTAAAATACAAAAAAATTAAACAATAAAAAAGTTTGATCTAATTGAGATTTATAGATCACTTCGTGAAAAAACAGTAGAATGAATATATATTTGGCTTAAGTATACGTACAACATTTACTAAGACAGGTAATATTGTGAAATGTAAAACAAGTTTCAATAAATTTAAAAGGAATAAAATCATATAAAGAATGTTCTGACCACAGCAATTACACTAAAAATCAATAACAGAAGTATACCTGGAAAATCTCAAAATATTTAGAAACTAAATCACATATTTCTATGTGAACCCACAATTCAAATAAAATATCAAAAGATAAATTATTAAATATTATATAACAATTATGTACCATTGTCTTTAATTTCCATTTACTTTTGCACATCAGATTTCCACCTCTCGAGTTTTCCTTTCTAGACTAATTTTAGCTTTTGGCTCATTTTCAAGCTATCCAAAACAATTCTTTGCCAAAATTTTGGTAACTTCAATATCCAAAAAAATGATTCTTCCAAAACTGGAACCTCAGATCCTTGACTTCCTTTCTTCCAGTGATCTTATCCTCTGCTTTCCCTTAGTCATTCATTCTCACCGTCAACCCTCTAAAATCTCAATTTTAAGCAGTTCACTTAACAACTGTTAGATATTCCAAATCAAACAATCCTTCAATACTAAAGAACTTACAATTAATTGATCCTTTCAACTCTTCACTGCCTCATATCCATCCTCTGTCTCCACTTCCCTTCTGATCTAGCTTAAATACCACAGTCACAATATTATAATAATTAATTTGTATATACCATCAACTCCTTTGTGCTTTCTTGCTTAGTATATTCTCTTGGCTGAACCAAAACAGTAGTTAAACCAATTCACCACTCCTTGCCTGCCCCTGCACAGTTTAAGGTGGCTGGAGAAAAACATACAACTTTGCTAACTCATCTCATGACCACTAAGTCACAATTGTATTTTCCTAGCCCGTTAATTCTCTATCCTTGACAATTATTTCATATACTTTTAAAAACTATCAAAATCTTTACCATACTAATTCTTACCTGATGACTTTGTTTCCTATATCACTGAGAAAACAATACCTTTCACAAAAGCCCACCCTGTGTCTGTGCCCATTTACTGTTTCCAATTTTAAGAAAATGCTCTATGTCAGTATCCTTACTCAGGTCTCACCTCTGCTTTTCCTTTCCTAGCCTCTAGCTCTCCTGGTGTCAATTTATTTTCCCCTAATTTATCAGTGGGTCAACTTCTGGCTTTCTATTTATTATAATTGGTATTCTCAACACACACATTTCCACAAAATATTCATATGATAGATTTTGTCTTTAGTAGAAAATGGAACAATTGCAGTCCATTGGTGATTAAGAAGGATGTTACTTGGTCTACAAAAATTTTCCAATATTAAAAGCATAAATCTGAAATAAAATATTCACAGATTAAAAATAAATGTTCTTCTCAGTTTTCTGAGAATTTAAATCTAAATTCTGATCATCTTATCTTGACATTGGAGGAGAGGAGGACATAACTTCTAGAAATTAATAATGAATCCATTAAGCCAAATATGACATGAACTTTCTAATGTATTTCGATTGTATTAACATGGCACTATCAGTCAAAAAGGTTATTTCTAAGATTCAGTTTTTAATTCAGACTGGAAGTAGTTATCTCTAGATAGTAACAGTTACCTCTTTCATTCAAACATTTCTGTATTGCAGAAAAAATAAACATTTAATAATTTAACTTTTATATGAAAATAAATTTCTTTTTGAAGCTTTCTGGATATGTCTAATCTTCATAGAATTTAGTGCCAGAGTAGACTATTAAGACCAAATAGTTCAGTCATTTCATTTTAAAATGTGGAAAATATAATTCAAAAGGACTAAAACCTTGCAAAGACATCACTTTGCTTCTGGTTTTCTACCCTAGTTGCATGTTTGCATCACCCGGGATTGCTTTTATAATAAAGATGCCTAGGCCCTACTGCTAGAAATTTTAATTTAAATGATCTATGGAGAGGTCTGGGATGTTGGTGTTTTTTTTTAAATCTCCCCAGTTTATTCAAATAAGGCTTAACACCAGTGCTCTACACTCTGCTCCCTCATTAATTAGCTTCAGGAACTATTTCTTAATGACCTAAAATTTGTAGAGAGAGCAGAGGACTTACACTGGGCTGGGTAGTTAAGAGGATGGGAAAATGAATTAGACTCAGATCTCACTGGTAAGCAAATTGCTGCCCAAATGAGTGAGGACTGATATACAAATACCTAAATGGCCAAAATAGTGCTACTGGTAAGTATGAAAAATTCTTCTAGATACCATTTAAATTTTAAATCAATATGTCGGTTACACTCACACACACTCATGCACACATTCTTCTGGGATTTTTAATAAGATTTCATTGAATCCATAAATCAGTTTGGGGAAAATTTACACCTTCCCAATACTGAATCTTCCCCCCCACAAACATGATATTTCCCACCATTTTAAAGTTGTATTTAATTCTCTCAAGAATGTTTATAATTTTCGATATAGATGTTTTATACATCATTTGCTGGATTTACTCATATTTGATTTTTTTTTTGCTATGTTAAGTCATATTGCTTTAAATTTTATTTTTTGTTGTTTGATCCTGGTATATTGTATATAGAAATACAATTGATTTTTGTATATTGATCTTATGTACATTGATTTTGCTCAATTCGCTTATTATTTTTAATACTCTGAATTTTTGCACTAAAATCATATTATTTGCAAATTGTGATGGTATTCTTTCTTTCCATACAATCCTTATGACTTTCTTTTTTTTTTTACTTTATTGTACTGGCCCAGTGCTCCAGGTCAGTGTTAAATAGAAATGGTACTGGCAGGACATCCTTGTCTCATTCTCAGTCTCTAGGGCAAACAATCCTAATCATCCTTCTAGTCATCCTTAAATATGATGCTATTATGGACTTCTGAAGATAATCTTCCTCAGCATAAGGTTTTGTTTTTGTTTTCCATGAATTGATATTGAATCTTATCAAATTATATAGCTATAACTATTGAGATAATTATATGATTTCTGAATATCTTTTATATCTAAAATATTCTTTTCAGCATCTTGATGTTGTAAAAATAAGGTATATAACACTGTATAGTGGTATACATAAGACAATTGGGGTACGCCAGCTTTATCACTGTTTTTTAATTGTATCTAAAATGTTCTTAAAATTTTAGTTCTGGTCAAATAAACAACAAAGTATGTGTCTCTGTTTCATAAAAGATTTCAACAGCTAAGGTCTTGTGTTGGTATTCCAACTGAGATGTATATTTTTTCCTTTGTAGGGAAGCAGGCTGCCTTAGACCCATTCATATTGTGGAACCTTCTGCCAAACTCAACTGACAAGTATTACACTTACAATGGCTCATTGACATCTCCTCCCTGCACAGACACTGTTAACTGGATTGTTTTTAAAGATACAGTTAGCATTTCTGAAAGCCAGGTAATCTTTGAAATTCAAGCAAATGAAGCAATTTGAAGCAATTTACAAATAATTATTTTCTAGCTTTGCAATAGAAAATCTGTTTTAAAGCATTTACTGATGGCTTCGAAGCAGATATTTTAAATTATTTGATCTTCTTTCCAGCTGGCTGTTTTTTGTGAAGTTCTAACAATGCAACAGTCTGGTTATGTCATGTTAATGGACTACTTACAAAACAATTTTCGAGAACAGCAGTACAAGTTCTCTAGGCAAGTGTTTTCCTCATATACTGGAAAGGAAGAGATTCATGAAGCAGGTATGTATTGAAATACAATTTTTCTGCAACCCTCACAGATTTGATGTTATAGGTGATATAATGGAAAACATACAGGGCTTAGAGTTTTAATAATAGTTTGATTATTAGTTTTGTAGCTTTAGGTAAGCTGTTTAGTTCTTTGAATCTCAGTTACCACATCTATGAAATGGCAATTAGAAAATCCATTCTTCCTCATATGAATAAACTCATTTTACAGGTGAGAAAAACTGAGATTCGATTTTAAAAAGTGATTTTTCTAGAACATCCAGTAATATGAATAAGTAGCAAAGCTACATACATACCTCCTATTTCACTTTATGGCATGGCATTGGCCTGGCTAAGAGCTATAAGCAAGAAATGAATAAGATGATGAGCTTGGGGAAATCACTGCTAGTTGAGATGATTAGGGAACCTTCATAGAAGAACCATATTTGAACTGAATCTTGACACATTATTTAGGTTTTAAAGTGAATTATTAATGAATTAAAAGAGAATCTTCTTCCCAGTTTCATTCTTTGGGGGAAAAGAGGCATGTTCTCGTTAGGTGCAGCCAGTGGAGGTGATGCCAGTGGGGGAGTCTCTGGAGAGCCTTCTGTGTCTTTTGAAGCTGACCGATCAGTCAAAAACCTTTAAAATGTCCAGAGGACACAATCAGACACATCTACTGATTGGTCTTTTTCAGTTTATACAGCAGTGCAGTTGTGCTGGTTCATGAAAGACATAGGCCAAGTGGCCTTTGTTTGGGGACTTATAGTCTTTCAAGTAGATTGTCTTCTTTGATCTCAGCCCTGCAATTAATTTTTTGCCATGTGTAATATTAATTTAATAATCATCCACTTTTGAAGATTAGGCATTAAAACGACATGCTTTTATATTAATGTGATATTTGTGAAATTGTTTATCCTTTAGCAAAAAAAAAAATGAGCTCAAGTCAACTGTGATAAATAGCTATATTTAATATGATATTAAGTTTCAAATTAAATTTCCCTGAAGCGAGGCAATTTAATTATATTTCTACCAGCACTATTAAATACTATAACGTCCTGTCTGGTAAACAATAGACAATTGATTACAAAAAAGAAAGTAAATTTAATCGTCTTTTTTTTCTCAAATAATAGACCAAATAACAAATTAAATGAATATGATGCTTTCTTGGCATGCACTTTCACCAATTATATTTTATTAAAACCCTTCAGTGGCACTTCATTGCTTTTAGAATAAAAGCCAAACCATTTGTCATTGCATGTAAGCTCTGTATAGTCTTTACTAGTCTTAGTGCCTACTTCTCCCAACTAGCATCCTTCTCTCACATTGAACTCCATGAAGTCACCGGAAGATGGTAGATCACACTCTTCCAGGTTGCGTTTGTACATACTGTTTCCCCTTGGTGGCATGTTCTTCCCTGCTGTCTTGACTTCACTTCCCTGCCTCCTTCTCATCCTTCAAGACTCCAGTAGGGCATTGCATCCAGTGGGAGGCCATCTCTGACTCTACCTCCATTTCCCCAGGTCTGGCTCTGGCACCAGGCATAGGACCGCACACTCAAGGGGGCACCATACCTACAGAATACATGGTAAACGGTGCTTATCTGGAGTTGTGCCATGTGCCCGGGTGCTCCAAACTTCATAGAAGTTGCCAAAGAATGCCAATTGTCTGTTTACTTAATGTCTCCCCCACCAGACTCTGAGCCTTGCAAAGGAAGTAATTAAGTTGTTTATCTCTTTTTCATTGCTGAACTAAAGTAATGCTCTCATTCACTAAATAGTCACTGCATAACTGAAAGAATCCATTTCCATATAATAAAAACTTAGAAGGTCATGCTTGATGTGTGCTTCAAAAATGGCTATAGCTGCCACGCATTGTGTGACTTTACTTGGAATTGAACCATACAGTATTTGATTTAAATTTCATATCACTTTTATTAAGTAGGCCTCAGTTTTTAGTTTGGGAAGCTGTTTTAAATGGCTTGCCAAGTTTATACAACCAGAAAGGGGTGGAGTTGGTATATGAACCCAAATCTCACTGATTCTAAAGCCTTGCAAAGTTCTCTCCACTGTGGTTTATAAAGAAACATGTTTTCTACTTACATAATTTTATCATAAATCTGATGACCTTAAAGACATGAAACACCAAAAAAATAGTATTGGCTTTTGAGTGCTTTGTTTATCCTAAGGTCAAACACAGGAACAACACTTTATAAACTACTTGGTTTTTTGTGCTATATAAATAAAATATATGATGTATGATGGCACCTATAAAGTAAGGAAAGCAATTTTCTTGAGTGGAGCTTATGGGAATCAATATTATTCTCTTAGACCAGGTGTGTATTTCAGAATTTCACTTTCCTGCCTCAGTGAATGCCAGAGTAATAATAATGCATCACCTATTTGTGGTTTGGTTACAAAATAATTAAAATGGCAGAAATAACAAGGAAAAAAACCCTCAAAACAGAGTCACTCATTTAACTTGAAGGGACTTAAAATGCAGAATTTAAGGAAAAAAACAGAAGTTTTGCAATAAAAGTGGGCATTCAGTGGTTCCTTTGGCTGTGTACTTAGTCCTACACATGCCTCCTTCCCTGACTTCCTCAAAAAAATCCAATCATACCAACAATTTTGTGATGTGTGAATTTTGACTGAAGATTTGTGGATTAATGGGGGGGGCTACAAAACTTAGCCTCTCCCCAAAACATCAGACTACAGCATAGAAAATATTGTTTAGAAAGTGTTATTCCTCTTTATTGTATATCTTTAGATAAATGCAAGTACTCAAAAGCCAATAATAGTTTTTTATTAAAGTTTCTTGTTTTTAAGATTATCAGTTTTTATTCTAAAATTATGTAAGCAGAAGTACCTCTCTTATGCAGTCTCCTTTCCTGGGCCCCAGAGTCCTGGCGTCAGATTTTTGACCCTGCTCTTTGGTCAGTCTCCCTCACAGAGTCTTTGCTGCTACCCTCAGCCCACACATGTGTTCACATCTTTCTAAGGCAGAAGAATCATCTCAGTCCCAGGTCCTCCACACTTGCCTACCCACGCCTACCCCAGTGAGCTCAGCAATCCAACAGCTCTTCATTTTCCAAGAAGTTATCTCCTTATAGGAGAGTTGGAGGTTATAAAGAACAATTTCCCACCGCCCCTCCACCCACGGTTGCATAGACTTGTGGCATGTTTATGATTTTAAAGCTTCAATCCTTGTCAAAATACATGATTTTGAGATAGCAATGAAATATATTAGAAAACTCAGGTTATATCAGTTGGATGGTTCTCCTCCATGCATTTAGTCAGTTAACCCTTTTTTTAAAATTTAATGTGAGCCACTATGAATTAATTAATTAATTTGCCACTACTCAGTATAGGGCCTTCCCTATTACACATAATTGAAAGTAATTCTTCTTTCTCCTGAACAGTCATGGTCCCTTACCTGCAGTTATAGTATTTTGCCTTTTTTGCCTTTCTTTAGGTGTGTTTACATGCATGCTTTAGTTTCTAGGTTGATCTCTATCTGATTGATCTCAGTATTACCTATTACACCTGATAAAGCATCTATCAGGTAGTAAGTGCCTTCTGACTACTTGATGAATGATGAACAAATGAATGAATTGAAGAATCAGCCAAAGCTTACTTATTACTTAGCCTTTGTGATTAAAGAGAGCATGTGTGTGTGTTATTAGCAACAAGCACAGAAGGAATGACTGGCTGGCTTTAGATTGCCAGACAGGTTGGAGCCAAGTTCTTCTTTCCTGAGCATCCTTTAAATAATTAAAACTTTGCAAAGCCTTCATGAGAATACAATACAGTAGCATCAGCATATGTGTACAGTTCATGTTCAAAATTAAATATCATTCCAGGGGAAGAAAGATTCTAATTTTAAAAAATATAGTATCAGTGTCATAATATAAATGTTAAGAAGTAGCTAAGTAATTTACTTTCTTCATTTTGAATCTGTTAATCCTCTGTGAAAGTATTACTATATTTAACAATAATAAACATTTAGCATATCAAGATTATTATATAATAATTTGTATATTTTCCATTAAATAACATTCTGCATTTACTGAAATAATAACTTTAAAAGTGAGCAACTTGCCCTTTGTTTTGGAGTTAAAAAAGAGAGACATGAATCTGATTAGAGTTATAGAGACTTTTTTTGCAAACTGGAACAATTTTTGCTTTATCCATCATGAATGTTTACATTAATGCTTGTTTAAGGTAAACACTCAGGCACCCAATAAAATTTGGGGTATGAATACATATTTTTACCAGAACTTTGATCCTCTAATTTTCCAATTTTATAAGTAGATCCACCATTTAATAGAAAGGCATTACTTTTTGACATCACGAAATAGACAGTGGATCTTCTAAGGTTCATAGAATTTAATAGAACACAGTCTGATCTCGAAGGAGTTAGTAAAAGCTATTTTTTAGGTAATGAGCACCACATGTAAATAATGATATAAACATAGCAAAAGTAGTAGGTGGAGTTCAACTTTTTATCCACGCCTTCCAGGTACCACATACTTTTATGCTGTCCTCTTACCACCTAACAAGCTTCTCCCACTAAGCAGCAGGTACCTGCTAAAGCACAGTGGAGAAAGGCTTTACAGTCCAATAGACTTGATTTCAAACCCCAGTACCAATATTTATTAGTTATATAAAAATTTTCAAGTTACTTAGCTTCTGCCAGCCTCAGTTTCCTCACCTATAAAATGGGAAAGTTAAAAATGGTCACCTTATAGAGTTGTTGTGAGGTTTCAATGAACTAAAGCTTGGAAAGCAGTGCAGTTCGTTGTAATATACTCCAGACTCATAACTAGTATTATTGTAATATGTGTCTATGTATAAAGAGACAAGATGTCACAACTGTGACATACTATCCAAGTTTCCCATGTGTTGTAAAATAATTTGTTGAATGAAATTATGGATGTACTTGAAATCTCATTTGCTAGCACAGTAATATATAATATTTAATGCAACCTTTTTTCACAGAAAACAAAATGTAAAATTTTTCAAGGCAGAATAAAATGAAGTGAGTGTCTTTGTAGCATAATGTATTTGAGCTTGAAAAATTTTCTACAATTTCCTGAAAAATGTCATGATGAATTATACATTAGTAGACTTACCTTCTTGAAGGTCAGTGGTTGTAAATAGCATTTTTTAAGGTCACATGTATGTAAACACTATAATTATATTCAGAAAGCAGAATGAAGATTATTTACTTCTTAGTAACATCATATAATATATTACAAATTGAACTGCTGACAAAGTTACTCTGTGTCCCTAGAGAAGATTGAGTGAAGTAGGTAGACTCCTTTTGGCTCTTTATCTAAAGTGAATGATATAGTCATTCATAATGCAAGACAGTGATATATCTTTTCCAATTGTTACATTTAACATTTATATCAATATTTACATTCGTTGTATTAAGATCTTCTACTCCCTGAAGAGAAATTACAACCTTGTTGGATATCTTCTGGGTCTGTAAGTCTTTAATCTTCTCTCACAATGGTCATCAAATACCTATCTTAATATTTTTTTAAAAAGGCTTAGAAACCTCAAATAAAGACATGGTGAACTTATCGGTGTGCATTCACAAAGTGATTTTTTCACAAGTTGTGTTAAACTCTACGGAAGTTCAAATTAATGGGAAATAACTGAGTAAAACCTAGTATAGTCTCAGGTAATTATGACATTTTCTCAGCCACTCCCCAAGAGTCACTTTGCTGTCTTTTTGTATCCATTGACATCTTTACTCATCATACAAGGAACTAAGACTGCACCTTCTCTCTCAAGGCAAGACTGTGCTTCTTCCAAAGCAGGTCCAAGAGCCACAAAAACCCATACCTCCACTTGGCCATCTCTGTCAACTTTCCTGATTAACAAAGAGATTTGTCACAGCCAAAAAATTTATTTCTGTCTCTCCTTCTCCATTTCTTTTCTTTTCTCCTCCACTTTTTTTCTTGTGATATTCGGTGCTTTGCTTATTAATCTTTTGGTACTTGTTTCACAAGTTATGTGCATTCTTATGTACGAGGTTTTCACTCTTCGCGTAAGTAATGAGATGCTGAATGATAAACCACAAGATTTTGAGTCAGCTAAAAGTTTGTGAAGCTTTTATAACTTTTAATGGAAGATATGTGTGATTTTGGAAAGCACAGCCTGATTTGGTCTAAATGGCAGATTTCGTTTTACAAGTTTGTTGTGCATTCTCTATAAGTGGAGTCCAGAATTTAGAAACTAAAAGCACTCGTGAGATCTCGGAACTTACTAAATCTAGATGTTAGAAAGCCATCACAGGAATGACCTTCCTAAAGGCAAGGATAGCACCTTCTTTATCTGTATGTCAAAAGTGCCCGGAACCAAGCAGATGAGAGTAGATTGCTAAAAGTGTTTAAGCAAGGGCATTTATAGCTCCCTGATTAAAAAAAAAAAAAATACTACATCCTCATTTTCTATAGTGAGGACCCTTTGCATTTGTGTAGTACTGAAGCACTTACTTGCACATTATGTGACTTGACATGGGCCCCAGAGGTGTCAGAGTCTGCCTCATAGCCAAAGGCCTGCAAGAACCAGGTTGTCCTTATTGGCCAGTATTCTCTAAGGAATCAGTATCTATGACCCAGATCACATGAAGATGTGGAAATGAATCAGGATATGAAATGTAGTTCTGAAGAAGGGAATAAGACCTCAACAGAGTCATATGAACTTTCCATTATCAAGTAAATTATATTTTTGTTACTATTTTATTCAATGGTAACTTGTATTTGGTGTCTGAGTACATATTGATCTAGAAAACTCATCTCGATTTTTAATACAGATAATATGCTTCTATGGGGGTATATATCCTTCCAATAACATATTTAGACTGATTTCAATAGAAAACATACAGAAAACTTGGAAAATTTAGTGTGTATTAATTACTTCTCCTGTGGTCATTACCCAGCTTTGTGTTTGAACATAAATTAGTATATAAGGAATTAACAAGAATGTTACTTAAAAGATCCAGTTCTATTTTATAGAAGGGCAACCCGTTGGCAACATTATAGACTATATGCAGAAATATAGGTTTTTCTCTTGAAAATGTTCTAAAATGCATCTGAGTTTTGTTCTACAAAATTTTGTGATTCAGCATCTAAAAGATAAGATTTAGCTATAGCTTTATAATATATTGCTAAATTGTTAATTATCAGTAAATACAAGGAGTGCTTTAAAAATAAATTTCTAATTAAAATTTAAAACTATTAAATAACTAATTAACTCCCACAGACTTAAAAGGAAGAAAGCAAATGATGAAAACATGCTGGGAAGAAAATATAAATTACTTTGTGGAGTCCTACTGATTCTTAAAATTAGAAGCACCTAACTGTTCACTACTATTAAGGCAAGATAAACATAGACATCCAACCATCATAGTGTGTGCTATTTAGGCAGTAGTCCTTTGGACATTTTGAAAGTAATACTTTTATATTTTTCCAAAGATATTTTTATGTTTTGGGTTCATGCATAAAATTCATGCATTTTTCATTGCAAATCATTTCCACTTTCTAAAAAGTGAGATAGATATTTAGAGGGCAAAAATCTACAAATGATATTCTCCAGATTGTTTTCCACCTTGCTAAAAGTGGGCTTGAAATTCCTTAGAAGCAAGAATGAGGCCCCTGCCTCTATTTGATGGTCTTCTGCCATCTGGTGGACATTAATAAAAGTGTCACTACATAGAGTAATATGTAGTCTAGACCTAAAGTATAATAAATACATTTTCTTTTTTTAAAAAAAATTACATGTTTTATTCTTCATGCTACTCAGTATAGCATGTTTTCATATACAGGTTTAAAAGGCAAATCTAGCATGCATTCTCTTTTATGTTTGTACATTTTCTTGTTTTTCTTTTTTTGGTAGACAAGATTTTATTGTCAAAATAGGAATAATGAAATAAGATAATCCCCTTAGATCCCACCTTATACCTCCCCAGCTGGCTGCTGTGACTCCTCACCTGGCCCCTCTTGGGAAACACAGGACAAAGAAAAATGAGAGATCAGGTGTTTGTACATTTTCTTATTGTGAATTCATGTTTTTTGATAATGAAAGAATTGCCCTCTTATTCCCAAAGAAACACTCCACTCTAAAGCCCTCTCTAAACAAAAAATAACATCACAGGTCTACAGTGAAAAATTTTGTTTCTAATTCATATAAAGTTATACATGTATTTATATAAAGAATATATATATTTATTCTTTTCTGAATCATTTCCATGCCATTGCTAACATAGTGTATATATGCAAAAATTAATAATACTAAATACTGCATGTAAAACACATTTCAGCTTATAAAGTGAATTGTTAGTTGTGAGTGCCCTCCTGTGCTCATGAGATGAATTACAGACTAATGGAGACTAAAAGGGGTATTGGTTGTGTTCTGACACAGTTGCTGGTATGTTTTTTTTCTGTGTCCTTGTAGTTTTTGTATCAGTGATGATCAGTTGACCTAAGTAGACTGCACACTCCCATCTGGTGGCTTTGTAACCTCAGGTGCCACCTGAAAATAAAGCCCAGATGCTGTGAGCATATTAATTAATCTTTGTCCTGAGAGATCTTTCTCTCCCATTGCTTTCCAAATCCTTCTGGCCTGTGAAGAGGTTATATTTATTACCTTACTTCATTAGCACAAAATCATCAAATTTTATAATTTTCTCCTCCCAATTAGTCCAAACTATCACATTATGAATGCATTTTAGAAAGTATCAGGACACTCTTTCTGATGGGACTGAATTTTTGGTGTGATTCCCAGTATGGGCTCGAATTCATTTTAAGAAGTCTCTTAATGATTTTTCACAGTATTTTTTTTCAGACGAGACAAACAAATCTTCTAATGTCCTGTAATTATTTGTTTAATCTATTTATAATTGCAAAGTGGGATTTTTGTCAGCATGTCTGAAAAATACCGAAAGGATCATTTTAGTTGTATGGTTTTCTCTGGTTGGGAACTTTAAATAATTTTAAGAATTCTCCAATAACAAAGTGCCCAACAATAGACTTTCTTTTATAATTGAAATTTCCTTCATCCTGAGCTAAATATATTTATTGGGTACAAAACGAGAAATAAAAACCACCATGAGCTTGTAGATATCCTTTGTTCATTTATTTCTAAAAATGAATTTTTGTGCCAAATATATTCAAGACCATGTTCTAGGCAATAGAGAAATAAAGAACTATGGTTGTTATGTTTATAATCTACTAGAGGAGTTAGGACCCACGCAGAATAAAATCATATTTGAGAGTGTGCAAATAATGCAATATTGTAAAACAAAATTGGCAATTCAAAATGACACAGATCACTTCAGTAGAGATCAGAGTGGAGGAGGCAGCATTTCACCAAGACCATTCCTGAATGTGAAGGTAGGACCTGAACAGATAGAGAGATAAGAGGGGGAAAAAAGAGTATTTTAGATATCAAAAATGGCATAAGCAAAAGCTCCACTGTGGGAAAGTATAACTTTTTATCTTACATTTAAATAAAATAAAATACAAATTTTTATGGACTATGTTTTACCTATTAAAATCCTGGAGGCTAACAGTTATATTAATAACTGGGCTTTTTTTTTTCTCTGAAGTTTGTAGTTCAGAACCAGAAAATGTTCAGGCTGACCCAGAGAATTATACCAGCCTTCTTGTTACCTGGGAGAGACCTCGAGTAGTTTATGATACCATGATTGAAAAGTTTGCAGTTCTGTACCAGCAGTTGGAAGGAGAAGACCAAACCAAGCATGAATTTTTGACAGATGGCTATCAAGATTTGGTAACTATAAGATTAATTGTTTTATGTTTGATAACACTGTAGTTTAATTTCCAAGGTAAAAACGTATTAATGACTGTATATTGTTGCCCTTGGTTACTTTAGACTTTGTACCTTGAATAAGATCTCACAGTTGTGTAAAGAATTGGGCCTAGAATCTCAGTGCTCTGATACACTGTGTATTGTTTCCCCCATCACACTATACTAGCACAGGAAAATAGAGTAGGGGGCTCGCGACCTTTTTTTTTTTTTCTTGCATCATATTTCCAGGTAACAGATGTGAAGTCATGATTGGGTGAAAACTTTGAGGATATAAGATAGATAAATCTTATGAAAAGTTCCACCTTTGCCTCCCTGTTCCAAGGCACACAAATTAAAGAAAATAAAGTACAGATTCCTTCTGGCCTGAGCATCTCAGTATTAAACTTTGCTTTGGTAGGCAAATGTTGGCTATCGATTGAGATGCAGTTGAGAAACCTTCATCTGGGTGTGGGTCCAGGAAGACTGCCCTGCAGGTTAAAGGCCACTGGACTTTTCATTCAGGCACCTAGAGTCCCATAAGTCCTGGGAATCTGCATTTAAATAAAAACTGACATTGTTATGTTTCATAGCATATAGACAATATAGATAACATTTTTAACAACTTTTAAATTTCACTGTCTAGAATATAGAGACATCATAATCTGGGAAAATTGTGGAATTTATGGGGAAATAATATTTTTTATTAAATAATTACCTGAAGAAGATAACTCTCTTACTGTCTTGCATATATATGTATGTATATATAGAGGAAATAAAGAGGTAAATTAGTTGTCCATTGTGTTTTTCACATTTTGCTCTTTATTTGTAAATAGTACACATTTATTTGTCTAAAATATTATTTTTTAGTTTATGGTACTCATTTATGAATTTGATGAATTCTGGTTAAAAATGAAACTTTCTTAAACCAAGCACAAAAAGACAAATATTGCATGTTCTCACTAATATGTGGGAGCTAAAAAAAATATTGAATTCATGGAGAGAGAGAGTAGAATGATGGCTGCCAGAGGCTGGGAAGGATAGGGGAAGGGAGGATAAGGAGGAGATGGTTAATCGGCACAAAAATACCCTTACATAGAAAGAATAAGATCTAGTGTTCAGTAGTGCAATAGGGCAACTATAGTTGACAATAATTTATTGTATATTTTAAAATTACTAAAAGAGTGGAGTTGAAATGTCCCCAACACAAAGAAGGGATCAATGCTTGAGGCAATGGACACCCAATTACCCTGATTTCATCATTGCACATTGTATGCATGTATCAAAACATCACATGTACCCCATAGATATGTACAACTAGTATGTATTCATCATAATTAAATAATAAATTTTAAATAAATTTTTCTAAAACTATATCTGATTTTTGTAAAACAAAAAAATTCCTAGTTTCCTTGTATCTTCATAATTCACCAATTCAATTTAGTAACATTGCATAAGCTTTTTCTTAGGTTAATAAAATATTAATGTAAATATTTTTCTTAACCAATGAGAAAAAGTTTTCTAAAAAAGATGTCTAGTGTGTTAGTCATCCTATGACTATTCATAGTACTGATATGAGAATAACACGTTTGTGTAATTACTAACATCTTTCTTTTAGGGTGCTATCCTCAATAATTTACTACCCAATATGAGTTATGTTCTTCAGATAGTAGCCATATGCACTAATGGTTTATATGGAAAATACAGTGACCAGCTGATTGTTGACATGCCTACTGATGACTCTGGTAAGTGCCCTACTTATACATCTGTATACTATTTAAATAAATCAGGCTGGTTTAATTACCGGATGCACTGATGCTTTCTTTCTGACTTTATAGTCTATTGGCCAAAAGGCAAAATGTTTTAAGTCTGGATCATCAGGTAATTTTGTGAGGCCTGGGACCTGTATCTCATTTAGCAAATCTGGTGCAGGACAATAAGCAAATTTGTCCTTAATATTGAAATTGTCCATTTGTAAAATGAGAACAAAACCTATTTAAAATGTTTGTAGTGGTCATCAAATGAAAATTGCTATGTAAATATTGAGACTGTTATTTTGGATAATTAAGAGTCGGTTTCATTTGTGTTTATTTCCTTTTTCAGCCCCCAAAGCATTATGTAGTAAGTATTTACATGATCCTAAGATCATGTGAGGTACTTTGAAATATCTGTACAAAGCATCTCAACAGTTTATCTTAGGTATTTTTATCCACTTTTTATAATTTGGTCAGGAGGGTGCTTTCTTCCTCATTGATTTGCAAATACTATTTCATAAAAACAAAAGAAATAAAAGTTGTTTTCTAACTGTTTTCTTTGCATGCATCTTCTCTAAGTACTATGGGAAAATCTTTTTATCTCAGAGCATATGCAATAATGCAATCAAGTGCTGAGCATCATAATTTGACAATTTACAAATTTATGTAGTTAAATTAGTTTTCCTCTTGTTAATGTAAGCAGTTTTAAAGTAGTAGAATGGAAGTGTGTGTATATATATGTGTATATGGATACACACATCATATGTATGTATATTCATATATATGCATACATACATACATGAGTGCAAATGTTCTTTGGTCATTCATGAGGCTATCCATTGAAATTTTTATATGTTTTTAATGCACATGAATGGTTACAAATTATATTAATTATAGCATATTTTAATTTAACATAAGGAAGGAAAACTGATGTGCAGTGGTGTTTGCCATTGTTGTCTAAATCCTACTGCAGAGACTTCAGTCCAACATAAGCTTAAATAAAGTACATATGCATTGATCACCTTGCCATAGTTGTTCTTACTAGTTGACTTTTTAAGTTAAAGAGTATATGTCAAAGCATTAGATGTTATACAGTCTTCCAAATTACTGGCTAAAAATTGCCAAGATATCTCCCAAGTTGACCTTAATAACTAATAAATATTACTACTATCATGATGACAATATTACTATTTAATATTTCCTTACGACTTGCCTCATGACCTGGGTATCACATCTTTCCTATTGCTTTATTTAGCATTGTTCTTTTTCAAAATCAGATAATTTTTAAATGGAATGTGAGTTTTAAGTTTTACTGAAAGGTGAATACCAAAGTAACTAATCATGGTTTTAATTATATGCTAATCCATTGAATGGCAACCCTCACCAAAGTTCCTTACATTGATCCACCCAGAAAATGACATCTTTATCAGCACAACATTGACCATGTTGGCCAATATCATGTGTGAATTGGTTGAAATAAAAATAATCTCCACCATTACGTGTGCATTTTATAGTTCTAAGTGTATTGAACACATTTACTTAATTTTACTATCTCGGTTTAGTTATACTATTCTGATTTCTGTACATAAAACAATTTTCCAGGAGATTACAAAAAAATGCTTACTTTCAATTATTTATTTTATACTCTTTCTTAGTCTGTTCACTGTGTTAAAATTTTAAATATTCTGAATATTTTTGGTTTTTTTATTTTTGAGATACTTATTGCATATGAAAAACAGATTAAATGTGTATTTCCTACTGAAGCAATTTCTGAGTGATCCTTTTAGACTAAGTCTATATTAGCACAAAGTAAAACATTCTTGTATCATTTGTGGTATTTTCACGTTTGTTACAAAATAGTGAATATTATAACTTAATTTCTGTTTATTCAATGGATTGGGACACCATTGAACATTGTAATAATGAGATGCTTGTTTGGGCACACCATTTAATCTCCATGGATGTCTGAGTCCCTTAAGGCATTTTGCACGATAATAATGGTTTAGTGAAATACGGTATTTGACTTGACATTTTGATACATTATGCCATTGGAAAGCCAAGGGTTAAAAACTTAGGTATATTATTCCTGAATTATTTCCATCAAAAATTCCTTCATCAAAAGCCAGTTTATCAATGGAAACTTGAAAAAAAAGCTAGTTTACCCAAAATTTGAGATATTCCTATTCTTAATAGAAAAAAAATACTAGTTAGGTATTTTCAAATTTATTCTTTCTTAAACACTGTAATGGCATTTTAATCCATATATTTACAATTCAGTGCTGAAAATACATTATCTTTAATATTGCTTCCATGGTAAACATATTCCAGTAAAATCTTGACAGAAGTACTATCTGGTAGTTTGATAAAACAGATTTGGTACCAACAAGATTTGTCAACTTTACCATTTATGTGGCTAATATAGATGTAAGTGGCTTTTGAGTTTGCTGCTTATTTCATGGTTTTTATTAGTACCATTTCATCCTGTTAATCATGTTATTCCATTACCTTGGTAACATTATAATAGACACTACTGAATTATTTTTTTATTATTTAGTATAACCTGTTTACTAAAACCTGTATTTTTATTGCTTTTCTTAAAAGAAATGAAGGAGTAATTTACAATTGCCCTCATTCTTTCATAGATTCCAAATATTCTAGTCTAGCCATTATCTGTGAAGAAAAACTCTATCTTCCAAATTGTGCGTTTAACTTCTAAAGTTGATTAAATTGTGCATTTAAATTGGAAATTAGATTACTTTATTGCTTGTATATTTTAATTAAACCTGTCTACAGTTGTATCATTATAAACTAATATTATTATTCAAATTGCTATTTTAAAACAAATGTATCAATTCATATCCAGAAACTAATTTAAATTTGTCAAGGAAGCCTTTTTAATGTTAAAAAGAAATGTATATTCTTTTTAAAGACTTTTTAGAAAATTATATTTATGAATTATTAATTCATAAATATATTTATTTTATTGTTACTAAGATAACTACATTTATTTCTCATCTAGTAGTATACCGTTATGGAGGTATTATTTAAGTGTATATTATGTGTTAAATTTAAATGCATGATTAAAGCACATTTTTTTCTGTTACTGTGTGCTTTTCAGTTATATAATAATTGTCTTGTTAATCACTATGCGTCTGTCCTTACTCTGTCTGTACCATGCAATATGCTATTAGTGTTATAAAATTATACTTAAAATCATACTTTGAAGTGATTGCGGTCTACGTTGCTTTTGCGTTTTGCACTGTGAAACTTGGCTTACCTTCAAAAAATTAAATAAGCCTTGCTTGCCAACCTGCATCAGTGTTGCTTCTTTTGTGTTATAGAATATTAATGTGTTACTAATGTGTTATTTTTTAAATCTAACATTACATGTATCCCAAAACAAAACCAGAATGAGTCAACAGGTTTTGTTCAGTTATTTACAAAAATGTGAATTTTAAGTTTTCACTCCAAAAATAAATCCTAATATTGACAGTTTTTCACCATCGGACTTTTTCCTAGCCTTCATGGAGTCTGTTTTGATGAAGTGAGAAGGTTCTATAAGCCACTATAAATTAATATATCAGTAGTAGTCAAACCAGTGCTTACTAGAACATTAGTTATTATTTGTGAGGAAACAGCAGGCTTAGGAGTGCCCAACATGAAATCTTGTGCCCATCAACAGAGATTTACCTTGAGTGCCAGGGTGTTGAACTTGCGGATTTAGAAGCCTGGCTTGAGAATCTTTAGGAAGATAGAAACAATATTCTAAAATTATTTTATTTCAAAATTGCTCTAAGAGGCTTAGCAAAAGACTTCTAGATTCTCGGAAGTAGAGGCTTTGGAGTGTTCCTGGGAAACCCCAGAATTTCAGTCAGTTCAAATGATCTGAGTCCCATTGGGAACCAGAATGAAGACTCTTCAAAGTGGGTTTATACACAGCAATATGAAGGCACCCACACTTGCGGTGATCTCCCAAAAGTGCCACGGGACAAAGAGTGTCCCAGAGGCTGTCTAAGCCCACAGGTGCTGCTCCAGATCTCAGAAGGCCCAAAGAAACAGTCTTACTTCTTATTACAGTAAACAGCAAACCCAATTATAGTGGAAGTCACTGGTATTCTTCATGGGATGTGATTAGATAAGGATCTTGTATTTTAATTTATTAGAATAGACATAATCCATATAGATAATTTATGCTCTGATAAAAGGGTGTAAAAATAAGTCAAGTGCAATACACACTGAAAACATTGAAAGAAAAGGAAATCAATCCTCAGTGTGGTAATTACACATACCCTACCCTAACCCTGACAATGAAATAAGAAAATTGCCTTTGCCCATTAAAAGTATGAAGTTAGGCGAAGTTAGACAATTTTTTAAAAATTTTATAATACCTTCTTAAGCATATTGAAAGAAATAGGATATTATTGAGTTTTGATAGCCTCTTAGCAGAGTAAAATCTGCAGTACAAGATATGTATCACTAACAAGTAATTATGGTTTGCCATTATTAACATTAAAATGTTTTAGAAGTGTGTGACAAGAAGTGGCTCAATTTCGAACCATTTAATATAAAACTAGGCATTGTCTCATGTGCTCAATTTGAATATTTTATTATACATGCATGAACTTCTCTATGGTGGCTTTTAGAAAATCATATTGAAGTTCTGTCACAGTTTAGTTGTATCTCATATTTAAATTCACATGATAATTTTCCCGGAGGTTACAAAGATACAAGTGTTTGAGATGACTGAAATCACTTTAATTTGGAAACAGAGAGAGTAAAGAGCTAAGAATAAACAGAGGGTGGGAAAAGGATTTTGTAAGGACACAAATAAAAGAACACTAATGATCCAAATTAAAGTTTCCAAACTCCTTCATGATCACTTTTAACAAGAAAAAAATATTGAGAATTAAAACTTAAGACTGTGATTTTTTTCTAGTGAGTATTTCCATTTTACAGCACAGAAAATTGTTCATGGTAAGTAAACTTGAAACAGCTAAGTTGTCGACTTTATTTAAATATTCCTGGGAAATAAGTGCACTTACAGATTTTACTTGAATTCTCTTCTCTATAGAATTCATGCTAGAATTTTATTTTATGGTTTTACATTTATCAATACCTAGAAATTTTCTGATAAAAATGAACTCAAGAAAACCTGTATTGAAAAATAGGCCTGGGTATGATAGACATTTAATGTTAGTTCAGTTATGCCTTGAAATTTCTGTAGAATATATATTTTCTTTGAGGACATGTAAAGATATAAAACATAGAACATAGCAGCATTGGGATAGTGCAGAGCATAAACTTTGGGGATGGAGTGAGATTCTATAAAAGCCTAGGAATAAGAAGGGCATCATTATAACAATGTTCAAACCTCACAGTTACTCTGTCTACCGTCTTTCTATTGACCTAGGCAGCTTAGATAAAAACTAAGGAAAAATTCTCTTCTGGCCCCTCAGTAATGTGGCTGGATTCCTTGTTGAGGAGAGAGAACCTCTTAATGTTTCCTGGCAGGTCCTGTTTTAGCATTGAGATATCCATATGTTGATTCTCATTGGTTGGGAAGAACAGACTTGAATAATCCTAGTCATTGAACTCTTTGTATAGTCAGCATTAGCTGAATTTTCCTGGGGAGAATGCACAGGTATCATTCTGTTCAGTTCTTCTTGCTGCCAACGGAGGCTGGCACCTGCTATAAAAGTCTCCATTTTACCTTGTGCAGCACCCTATATACAAATAGGTGTGAGCCCAAATTTGAGGAGTAAAAAGATTTATCTGTCTTTTAGTCAGAAAAGAACTTAAGGAAAAGGTAGCCGAAAAAAAAAAAATCCTGCCAATTCTCCAGAAAATCCCTAGCATTTCCCCAACCATACTTCCATCAGCCCCATTAAAGGATGAAGGTAACTTTGCACTGACGAAAAATTATTTTAGTTTCTTTACACTGAGGTATATCAGATATCACTGTCCTCTTTCTTCTCGTCTTCATTCAGATTTAGGGTGGGCGTAGGGAAGCATGTTGAAGTGAAAGGTAGAGATCAAAGGTTTTGTGTGTGTGTGTGTGTGTGTGTGTGTGTGTTTTATTTCAGCATATTATCCAGTTACATATAATTTTGAGTAGTATTGTGTTCTGTAGTGTTCAGTAATGTTGAAAACTAAAACTTAAAATTTGAAACTTTATTTTGGGAGATTCTGTATTTTCAAAGCTAACATTATTTTTTGTTTGTTTTTATTTTCTTTCTTTTCATCCAAAGGTAAATCCACAAGGCTAAAATAATTGAATAAACTGTAATAACTTTGTTTTTAATTTTGTAGAACTTGATCTTTTTCCTGAATTAATTGGAACTGAAGAAATAATCAAGGTATCATAGCCATTTTTATATTCAAATGTTTTAAAATTAAAAAGTCTATTTTGAATTATTGTTTAGGCTTTGGCTATTGTTGCATGAATAAAAATTGCATAATAGAAGTCCATGTTGTATTAGTCATTGTTTATGGGGCTAGTTGCTATTTATGTATTGATAGTCACATAATAAATATACACAATTTTTTTGTTAAAATGTTGGAGCACACTTTTATAATATGGAAAATAGAGAAATTACAAAAGGGTTGGCAATAATGAAAAAAGCAATAAACTTTAAAAATAATTAAACCTATGAGCTATATGTATAAGTTGGAATTTTTTAGTGTACAAATTTTTCTCTAGGACTAAAGTAATATTTGATCAGTTCTTAATAATGTTATATTTTATTTATAAGTTAACCAATGATTGATAGATTCTTAGTAATTTGAACCAAAATATAAATTGTATATATATATGTGTGTGTATATATATATATATATATATATATTTGCCCATTTAATTTGGTTATTTGTGTTTGGACTATTTGTGTTATAAGTACCTGTTGCTGGAAAAATGTCTTCCAAGTAAGAGGGTATTTGAGAATATCTACAAATTTTAACATTATTTTAATTTTTAAAATACAGAGAAAATGATTGTTTGATGTATCTTATATTTCATTCTAGGCCCAAATGTGTTGTTCATCATAACTGAAATATGTTCAATCCAGGTGCAGTTCTCAACAATAGTGAATGTGTGCATCTATACATATTGTGTAGGAGCTGATAAACTGTGACAACTAACGCTATTATCTAGCAATATATAGCAGTCAAGTTGTGTTTTCACAGATATAATTACCTCAATTTATACATACGATGGCTATTCTCGTTTACAAGGGACTATTTTGCCAAAATTACCTAATTTTCTTTTTTTTTTTTTTTGGTCTAAAAAGTTCAATTTCTTTTATTTTTTAATTTCAAAAATTTAGAGGATAGGGGATCTTGTTATGTGGATAAATTGTATCATGCTGAAGCCAGGGCTTTCACTGTACCTTTCAACAAGAGTTCACAACATTCAGCTAAGGATATCTTTTTGTGTGTGTGTGTGTGTGTGTGTGTATGCATTTGTGCACATGCATGTGGATATGTATACACCTAGATCAACAGAATCAATTCAAAGGAAGGAAAATAAATTATTTTTATATTCTGTTGTTAATTCAAATCTTTGTTTTAATATATTGAAACAAGGCTATGTTCCAGTAATTGGTGCCATTTAGTAAATTATATTTTATTTGAGTTCTATCTCATATGAAATATCATGAACTTTTTAGAAAGGACTAAGGAATGATCTTTTTTTATAGAAATTCCCATTATCATGGTTCCATATTTGTTTATTTATCTTGACCATTGACGTTAAGTTATTTAAAATTTTCTAATGTTAATTACTAGTAAATCTCTACATAAAACTATAACATTGTGTTTAATATAATATTTAGCTGTGTGAATAGGCTATCAATGTGACTTGGCATACCATTTTAAGATTTTTTTTAATTGACACATAATTATACATATTTATAGGGCACATAGTGATGTTTTGATACATACAATGTATAGTGACTGAATGAGGGTGATTTTCATATCCATCACCTCAAACAGTTATCATTTCTTTATGTTGGAAACATTCAATATCCTCTCTTCTAGCTATTCAAAAATATATAATTGTTGTTAACTTTAGCCATCCCTCAGTGCTATAGAACACTAGAACTTATTTCTCCTATCTAGCTGTAATTTTATATCCTTTAACCAATCTCTCCCTATCTTCCTCCCCGCTAAATTTCCCAGCCCTTAGTAACCACAATTCTACTTTCTACTTCTATGAGATCAACTTTTTTAGCTCCTACATATGAGTGAGAACATGTGGTATTTATCTTTCTGTTCCTGGTTTATTTCACTTAGCATAATGAAATCCTGTCGTCCACAACAACGTGGGTGAGCGGAAGATATACCTTTATTTTTGTCATGACACTCTAGAATAGAGCTACCAAAGGCCATGTATATCATGGTGCTATAGGTGTCATCAGTTACACATATCACAAACACAAGCAGATCTTCCTGGTAGAGAAGAAAGTGAAAATGTTTGAGCATTTCCCTACTACAGGCAGGCTTGTTGTAGTCAAAGAAAGGTACTTTAGCAGGAGGAAAGAAAATAACTCAGTGTATCAGTCCAGGTCCCAACAGGAAATAAATGCCTCACTCACGTGGAATAATTGAGGTTAATTTAATAATAACAAAAAAAACAAAAAAAACAGACGAGTGGAAAGGGTTAATGGAAACCTACAAGGGATAGTGTTGTATATTTAGGTCTAATGATATGGGCAATATTGCTACATCTGAGCCTGAAAAGCAAAGAGAAGTTGTAGAGAGGGTAGCCCAGCAGATGCTGTGGCCTCTGCAGTGGGTCAGAGCCATCCTGTCGCGACCAGTTGGGTAAGGATCTCCCTGAAGAGTAACCTCATTCTCCTGACATCTGCTTCCTGGCAGAGCAGAATGGAGACAGGTGGAGAAAGGACCTGGGAAAGCAAAGGAGAATATACAATGCACTGAGGAAGAAGGGACTTGAGAAGGCAGAGCAGAATCAAACATCAACATCCTCTCTTGTTGGTGGCAGGCTGTGACCTAGAAGAGAAAGAGGAGGAGAAAGAAAAGTCTTAAGACATTTGGCTTATTTGGTTTATGGGGCGTTACCTGTGGTGGTGGTGGTGCCCAAAAAGCAGCAGCTCGCATGCTTTGAAACACCAAGGAGAATACATTGGCACTGCCAAGGGAAGGAGCCAGCTACCACCACATAGATGGAGATTTAAAGTGAAGGATACAGGAGCAGTGGTTGCTAAACTTGACTTGGCAAATTTGTAGTATGTCATGCTATTGAAATTAGTTGTTGTTAATAAAGGGTCGGATCAGAACAGATCCATGTTGTGTCTGTTCTTCCTGGAGCATGATTCTGAGATGGGATGAAAACACTGCTTAACCCATCCCCTATTGCTGCATGACATTCTAGAATCGATACCAAAGGCCCTTTCAAAGCTTTCGCAGATTGTTTCTATTGCTTCGTGCAGGAATGAAGGAAAGAGACTGGCAAATATATGGAATGTATCCGTAATGATTTTAAAGCCCTGAATATTGAAATGAATAGTTTGAGAAATACTCCTTAGATCCTCTCAAAACATAAATGTATGACTTTGCAAGACAAAGAATTTTCAGTATGAACAAGGCTTTACATGAAAATTTTGTAAATGGAAGTTGGGAAGGATAACAGGTGTGACATAGATCAAAACTATAGAAGAGAGATTTACAGGAACTCCTAAGAAATTATAGGAAAGTATTTATTAAAATATTTGTGGTCTGATATTAAGAAAGTAATCACAGGGCATGGATGATATATTTGCCTTGAAATGTTGACATAAGGCAATGTGACCTCATGGAGATCAACAAGACATGGTGGGGTAGGATTAATGAATGTCTGTACTTTTATCGGGTTCTGAGAGTTATCTGAACCTCATAAAGTTTCAAATCTACTGAAATAGAAAGCAATAGAAGAAATATGTATGTAACAGGTATATAGTTTCTTCTTCGAAATAGCTAATAGAATAAGTGATGAGTAGCATTATGTTATAATGAAAATTTTAAGGAAATACATTACTTTTGGTAAGCTATGGTAAAGTAGTAATATATTTATGTGGGAATATAAGCACAGAGAAATAAAAATAATATTGTGGGAGTCTATAGATATTATTAGATCATATAGGGAAAATAGATAACATGTCTTTTGGGAACTTTAGCTGTGAATGAAGGGAAGAGAGGTAGAATGATATCGAGAAGCTGAAATAGAGATTTTCCATTAAGTCTCTTTTAAGTAGGAGACACCTAAGTTGATTTAAGCTGATAGGAATGATCTGTTTGAGAATTTGAGATAACAAATTGAAAACACAAAATAGAGGGAACTACTCACTTGTGTTTAATTCCCAAGAACATGGGGGGGGGGAAATAGATTTAGAACACAGATGTTAGGAATTAGGCTCTGAAAGGAAGGGAAATGAGTTACAACAGGGTGTGAGGGGCAGGGGTGATTTGGTTAATATGTGTTTTTAATGTTAAGGAGGGGTACAGTTTTGTCTGGTGGTTTCTGTTTTGTCTATAAAGTAAACAAGAAGGGCATCTCCTGAGAGTGGGAGGAAAAGATTGAAACATGTAGATTTTGAACAGAGTTTTGGTAGAGGGTAAGAGTGTGGAATGTTACCAGAAAACTAGGTAAATATTCCAATTTGCAAAGATGAGGAAGAGTTTAGAAACTCCATACTGCTCAACTTAACCTTGATCCTCAGCAAAACTCTGGATCAGATTATAAAACACATATTTATAATCAAATTTTCACCAAAAGCAATCAAGGCAAATTATTCTTATTTAAATTTTATGAGGTTTTTAAGTTTGTAGATTAGGGGAATATTTGTTCAGGAAATTATTTGGTAAAATCTCTCAGACTGTCTTTGTGAACAAGGTATCAAATGGAATATGCACTTTCATGAGGAACTACTAACTACTTAAGGAAATTTGTCTAGGGAGTCAGAGAGGGTGGCGGTTTTTAACATTCAATACAATTCAGATAAAGCAAACTCATTTATTAGAGGTGTCATATAAGCCACAGAAAATACTGTACAACCAACCAAATAATTAAGCTCTAAGTAATGGGGCAGTCATTAAACTTGGATCCTGTGTTCATACTGTGCAGCATTCACAAGACATGTGCTCATGAGCACACATGGTTTAAGGTTCAGATTCTTTCTGCTGATGTTGGTCAGGTTCTCCCTGACTATACTCAGTCAGGGACATGGCACTAAAAGATCTATACAGATGACAATTCTAACAAATTGTTGGATACTGACAAAAATCATGTCCCACGTGGACTAAAAAAAAAGAAAAAATATCTTGATACCTTTGGCAACTTAATTTTCTAAACATACGATTAGACATGTAGTATGCCCAGTTTTACAGAGAGAGAGAAAGAGAGAAAGCACACGTGCATAGGTGCTGGTTGACTTCTAGCCAGAAGAATCCTGGGCCATTGTACTAAATGTACATAAAAGATTTGGCCTGAATGGTGGTTCTAAGGGAAACACAAAATCAAATAATTCATAGTAGAATAACATTTTGACAAGTTGCCTTTAAAATATTTACATGAATCTTAAGTGGAAAGTATTAAAAACAAAAGAAAAACAAAACCAACACCTCTTTCAGTTGCAAATCTTCCCCTTATGATGACTTTGAGATTATCACTTATTCTGAATATATACAATTAAATATTATGAATGTCTAGCTACTTCGGTCTTTGAAATAGTTTGTCCTTTCTTATTACAATAAGCTAATTGCTATTTAGCTTGATGCCTGATGAATTGAACAAAGAAGCATAAAAACAAGAAAATAAATATCATGTTAAATAACCCTTTCAATAAATAAGTACAGCTACAGTGTGCCTTCCTTTTAAAGCTGTGGCATCTATTAATTTAATCACTTTGTTCCATAGCATTAAAATAAAGGCAGTCATAAATAAGATGTGTTTTCATTACCTTTATTTAGTCTCGCCAGAGAATAGAGGCATGGGGTCTATAGAATGTTATTTGATGAAGATAAAAATTTCTCACAATCCCACAAGCAATGATTAGCATTATAAAATAGTATAAGATGTTGAGATTTTGTTTTTCTCTTATTTTGTTATGTTTCATTAAATCTTGTTTGCTTTTCAAAGGAGGAAGAAGAGGGAAAATACATGGAAGAAGACACTATTGTGAATCCTGGTAGAGACAGTGCCACAAACCAAATTAGGAAAAAGGAACCCCAGATTTCTACTACAACACACTACAATCGCATAAGGACTAAATACAATGAGGCCAAGACTAACCGATCCCCAACAAGAGGAAGTGAATTCTCTAGAAAAGGTGGAGTTCCCAACACCTCTTTAAATTCCACTTCCCAACCACTCAGTGAGTTAGCCACAGAGAAATCTATTTTCTTAACTTCTCAGACGGTGACAGAACTGCCATCTCACACTGTGGAAGGTACTTCAGCCTCTTTAAATGACGGCTCTAAAACTGTTCTTAGATCTCCACAGATGAACTTGTCTGGGACTGCAGGATCTCTAAATGCCATTTCTATAACAGAATATCAAGAAGTATCTACCGATATCAGTGAGGAAGACAATTTGTTGACCAGTTTCAAGCTTGATACTGGAGCGGATGATTCTTCAGGCTCCAGTCCCGCAACTTCCGCTATGCCATTCATCTCTGAGAACATGTCCCAAGGGTATATATTTTCTTCAGAAAACCCAGAGGCAATCACATATGATGCTCTTATACCAGACTCTGCAAGAAATACTTCAGAAGATTCACCTTCATCAGGTTCAGAAGAATCATTAAAGGATCCTTCTGTTGATGGAAATGTGTGGTTTCCTGTCTCTACAGATATGACAACGCAGCCCGATGTCGGATCAGGTAGAGAGAGCTTTCTCCAGACTAATTACACTGAGATACATGTTGATGAATCTGAGAAGACAACTGAATCCTTTTCTCCAGGCCCAGTGGCGTCACAGGGTCCCTCAGTCACAGATATGGAAATGCCACTTTATTCTACTTTTGCCTACTTCCCGACTGAGGTAACACCTCATGCTTTTACTCCATCCTCTGGACAACACGATTTGGTCCCCACTGTCAACGTGGTACACTCGCAGACAACCCAACCGGTATACAATGGTGAGACACCTCTTCAACCTTCCTACAGTAGTGAAGTCTTTCCTCTAGTCACCCCTTTGTTGCTTGACAATCAGACCCTCAACACTACCCCTGCTGCTTCGAGTAGTGATTCGGCCTTGCATGCTACGCCTGTATTTCCCAGTGTTGATGTGTCCGTTGAATCCATCCTGTCTTCCTATGATGATGCACCTTTGCTTCCATTTTCCTCTGCTTCCTTCAGTAGTGAATTGTTTCGCCATCTGCATACGGTTTCTCAAATCCTTCCACAAGTTACTTCAGCTACTGAGAGTGATAAGGTGTCCTTGCATGCTTCTGTGCCAGTGGCTGGGGGTGATTTGCTATTAGAGCCCAGCGTTGCTCAGTATTCTGATGTGGTGTCCCATCAGACCACTACTCATGCTGCTTCAGAGACATTGGAATTTGGTAGTGAATCTGGTGTCCTTTATAAAACATTTATGTTTTCTCAAGTTGAACCACCCAGCAGTGATGCCATGATGCATGCACGTTCTTCAGGGCCTGAACCTTCTTATGCCTTATCTAATAATGAGGGCTCCCAACACATCTTCACTGTTTCTTACAGTTCTGCAATACCTGTGCATGATTCTGTTGGCGTATCTTATCAGGGTTCCTTATTTAGCAGCCCTAGCCACATATTGATGCCTAAGTCTTCGTTAATAACCCCAACTGCATCATTACTGCAGCCTACTCATGCCCTCTCTGGTGATGGAGAGTGGTCCGGAGCCTCCTCTGATAGTGAATTTCTTTTACCTGACACAGATGGGCTGACAGCCCTTAACATTTCTTCACCTGTTTCTGTGGCTGAATTTACATACACAACATCTGTGTTTGGTGATGATAATAAGCTGCTTTCTAAAAGTGAAATAATATATGGAAATGAGACTGAACTACAAATTTCTTCTTTCAATGAGATGGTTTACCATTCTGAAAGCACAGTCATGCCCAACATGTATGATAATGTAAATAAGTTGAATGCATCTTTACAAGAAACCTCTGTTTCCGTTTCTAGCACAAAGGGTATGCTTCCAGGGTCTCTTGCTTATCCTGACACTAAGGTTTTTGATCATGAGATTAGTCAAGTTCCAGAAAATAACTTTTCAGTTCAACCTACACATACTATATCTCAAGCATTCGGTGACATTTCGCTTAGACCTGTGCTTAGCGCAAACTCAGAGCCAGCATCCTCTGACCCTGCTTCTAGTGAAATGTTATCTCCTTCAAGTCAGCTCTTATTTTATGAGACCTCAGCTTCCTTTAATACTGAAGTATTGCTGCAACCTTCCTTTCAGGCTTCTGTTGTTGATACCTTGCTTAAAACTGTTCTTCCAGCTGTGCCTAGTGATCCAATATTGGTTGAAACCCCCAAGGTTGCTAAAATTAGTCCTACAATATTGCATCTCATGGTATCAGATTCTGCTTCAAGTGAAAACATGCTGCACTCCACATCTGTACCAGTTTTTGATGTATCACCTACTTCTGATATGCACTCTGCTTCACTTCAAGGTTTAACCATTTCTTACACAAGTGAGAAATATTTTGAACCAGTTTTGTTTAAAAGCAGAAGTTCCCAGCAAGTGGTACCTTCTTTGTACAGTAATGATGAGTTGTACCAAACTGCCAATTTGGAGATTAACCAGGCCTATCCCCCAAAAGGAAGGCATGCATTTGCTACTCCTGTTTTATCCATTGCTGAACCACTAAATACACTAATAAATAAGTTTATATATCCTGATGAAATTTTCACCTCCACCAAAAGTTCTATTACTGATGAGGGATTTGCTGGTATTCCAACGGTTGTTTCTGATACATTTGTAGCTACTGATCCTTCTATTCCTTTAGGAAATGGGTATGTTTCCATTACAGCTGTTTCTCCCAACAGTGATGTAACCACAACTAAAGTGCTGTTTCCTTCCAAAGCAACTTCTAAGCTGACTCATAGTGCCAGATCTGATGCCGATTTAATAGGGGGTGGTGAAGATGATATTGATGATGATGATGATGATGATGATGATTATGATGACAGAAATAGTGATGGCTTATCCATAAATAAGTGTATGTCATGCTTATCCTATAGAGAATCACAGGAAAAGGTAACAAATGATTCAGACACCCAGGAAAACAGTCTTGTGGATCAGAATAACCCAGTCTCACATTCACTTTCTGAGAATTTTGAAGAAGAAAATAGAGACACAGTTGTAACCTCAGACAGTCAAACTGGTATGGACACAAGTCCTGATAAATCACCACCAGCAATTGGGCTACCCCAAAAGCATAATGATGGAAAAGAGGAAAATGACATTCAGGCTGGTAGTGCTGTGCTTCCTTTCACCCCTGAATCTAAAGCATGGGCAGTTCTGACGAGTGATGAAGAAAGTGGATCAGGGCAAGGTACCTCAGATAGCCTTAATGATAATGAGACTTCCACAGATTTCAGTTTTCCAGACACTAATGAAAGAGATGCTAATGGGGTCCTGGAAGCAGGTGACTCAGAAACAACTCCTGGATCCTCAAGGTCCCTGACACCATCTGTTACTAGCAGGCACTCAGAAGTGTTCAACGTTTCAGAGGCAGGTTAGTTATGGATCAAAAAGATAAATCAAGGTGTGGTGGTTTTCTTGCTCTAAAAATAAAATAGAAAAAATATGGAAAAATAGAAATTTGTAAAGTGGCACATCTTTTTAAAATTTTTTGAAGTTTTTCACTATTATGGGTGCATATTAGTTGTGTATCTTAATAGGGGAGATGTGATGTTTTGATACAGACATACAATGTGAATTAATCAAATCAGGGTAATTGGGGTATCCATCACCTCAGGCATTTATCATCTTTTTATATTAAATCAAACCACTCAATGTATCAGTTTACAATTTTAAAGTATGGTTTTATTCATTATGTCACATGATTATTCAACATGTTATTGTCCTTAATTTAATTCTCTCTAAAATAGTTAAAACAAATTTTATTTATTGTCAATATTTCATATTCTAAACAGGATGCCTATTTTATGTATGGGAGAAATTATGTGTGCATAATACATTTTTAGCACACTGCTTTTTAAGTAAGATCAGAGTGTGCAATTATTAGATGATTTTAATTTTCATACTTATATGTGTTCTACAATAAGTTGTGAACTTACTCTATTGAATTATAAAATGAATTATAAAATATGATATAAGCACCTCTCTCTGACACACTCCATAGAAAGGAATTAGATAATTTGCACATCCATGTCAGCTTGGGAAGCTTTAAAAAAAAAGTTCTATTACTAAATTTTGAGAGCTAATGGTGAGGTTAAGAAAAGATTTTAATTTTTTTAAATTCTTTATTTGATAAATGTTGCCTAAAGAGGGCACTGTGAACCAACAAAATACATTTTACTTTGTGCTTGCTGCTATTCACCTTTCTAAAATAAATTCTGAGTATTAATATGCATAATATGTATAGGTATTGTATGACAAGATGTAAAACAGTAGAACCTCATCAAGTAACAATTTTCTGTAGAAATACATTTCATTTGTTAATGTATTTTATGCAAATTAGATTATTGGCCAGATGTTGCCTAGAGCAGATTACTTGCAGCATATATAATACAGATGTCTACTTTAAATGCCAATGAAAAGAAAGAGAAGTTCAATTCTATTGAGCATATGAAATATTAGGTAATTTCATTGATTTTATCAAAACAACTTTATAATTTGCTTTTAGTAAATTTTAAGATATTTTTTAATTTAACAATGAAAATATTTAAATCTTAAAGTAAGTCAAAAGGTAGGCTAATGTAATGAAAGGCAGTCATTGTTTAAAAATGAATACTTATAGCCCAGAACATAGACATCAATCTCATTAGGATATTTTTCCTCTTTGTTACTTCATTTCTTGAATTAGTTGTATATTTTTTCCTTCAGTGTAGCAGCAATTAAAAGTTTGGACATTTTGACAGAGAAGTTTTTCTGCATCCTTACTTGATACCTATTTAGCATTGCATTTCAGTTTAAACACTTAAACAATGACATCTGAGAATGAATAATGAATCTGTAGGTCACTGTATTCATTAGTGTTGTCCTATGTTGTTGTCGCCTCTCAATTATAGTACTTGTTTTTTCTAATTTTTATTAGATTTATGTTAAAGAAAAATATCAGGAATCCATCCATTTTTCTATATTACTAGGTGGTGACATTGATATGTTCTTGCTAGACTATATTATAGAAAGAATATATATATAACAAAATGCTAAACCTAGAATTATTGACTAAAACTTACCAAGTTTCTTTTTAATGCACTAATTAGATTTATTTATTAAGTGTATCTTCACTCATTAATGAAGAGAAAACAACATGAATATAACATCCAACCTCATCAAGTAACAATTAATGAAGTAAATAAAATCAAGTAAGATTAGGGGAAAATTCTTGTCTATTTTTAATACTGTAGATATATATATATAAATATCACTGGTTGTCTGTCTTATCCAATAATTAAATATGTCCCTTTATCAAATGTATACAGACTAGTTCTGAAATGAAAAATTTTGGGGGTAGTTCTAAAATGTAGAACAATTTACAAGATATGTTCCTCAAAATAATATAGATAAGGCAAATACTAGTATTTATAATTTATGAGTAAACCAAAAATACTAAATTACTTGATCAGGCCACATAAGGAATAAATATAAAACTAAGCCTGCAATGGGTTATCGGTGTCTGTCTCTTAGAGACTATGCTTTCATGACTGAGGACAGTAAAATATATGTAATGCTTAAACTGTAATACCAAATTATACTATTTTATTCTTAAAACATTTTTAAATATTAATAATTGGTCTTTATTTTGTAAATGCATCAGTAGATTCTTATCATTTAGGTAACTCCTATACACTACTGCGCTGTACCAAAACAGATAATTTAGTCTCAAAAAGTGAAAATAAGATCAATACAACTAGTTTTTCCTCCTTACAGTATACAAAGCAATCAGCTGATTGTACTTGCATGTGGTATCCCATTGTATATAAAAGAGCTAGGTTTCATAATATATATTCACCACAGACTTATCATTGTAACTCCTCAGTTAAAGGATATAAGATCAGATATATCCAAAAAAACTTACAAGAAATATCTATATGTGTTTGTGCATGTGTGTATATAGTGCATGTATATAAATATGATGTATATATGGTATATATTACATAATATGCATTATATATCTTACATATATATCACATATATGATCAGACACATCTCATATATGTATGCATATACATCTATATAAATGATATGTGTTTATCTCTATATATACTCATATACATATTGCTATGAATATTTGCAATTAAAGACTTGTGTAATTATAGAAGCTTACTTTGTACATATATTAATGTACATCATTGAATCACAAACTTTAACGTGTATCAAAATCGTATAGAGGACTTGTGAAAACACAGATTGCTGAGCCTTAACTGTAGTTTCTGATTCAGATGCCTTGGTGTGGTTTGGGTGGAGCCTCAAATTTGCATTTTGAATAAGTTACAGGTGATGTTGATGCCTCTATTCTGAGGACCACACTTCAAGAATGACTTATATAAATAATATTAACCACCAAATGTATAAATAATATTAACCACCAAATGTATTACTGTACTAGGTACCAGGGACTTTGCTAAGTGAATTGTTTAATTTATTACCCACAAACTTACTTTCCATTTGGGTAAAAATAGTTCCAACAGGAAAAATGTGAAGACAATCATGTATAAAATAAGATGCTCTTCTAAATTTCATAATGAAATTTTCAGTGCATTCACCATTAGACTATTTATGTGTGTAGATGAGTCTCCACACATTATGTAATAGCCAATTGAAGCTTGGCCTTTTCTTGCAAGAATATTAGGTACAACCCAGGGGTCAGTGGACTTATAATATTTTCACTTTTCCTACAGTTTTAGGATTTTTAATTATACCTTTGATTTCTACTTTTTTTCTAGCACATGCATCTATAATTATAAGAACATCTTAGGAAATGTGTGTGCCATTTATATTCCCATGATACATTTCCTGTATTCGTGAATTAACCTCTTGGCCCTTTTTTGCCACCATCCTTGGTTACCAAAGAAAGCTATTATTTTAAATCTTTAGTTCTCTCAAATTTCTTAAATGTTCAAAATTAGACTAATTTCTTCTGTCTCATATCACTAATAGTAAAGAAGTTTGGTATAAAAGCATCAAAAGTGCCAAGTGGGTAGGAAGCATGTATACTTTGATGAGGAACTTTAATTTCAGAACTTTCATAGGTAGACAAAATAGGGGCTCTTGCTTTGTACCACCATCAGCATATCATCAGTTAGAAACAGTTCTCATGTTCAATCATCTTGGTTCCCACTGAACACACCTCAAAGCAAAGGAAAGATTGTTACTGGCCACTAACACAACTCTGATAGTTTTTTTTAATAACTTGGAAGAATATCTCCACTTGCAATGATTTTCAAAGTGCTGGTACAATAATGTACCTGATTGGTCACAAAAAGAGTCATTTGCCATCTTTTAACACATTAACTGCCATGTGGGTTGTATTTAACTAGTTTTTAGCCCACAGCCTTGTGAAGCATATGTAACTCACATGTCTTTTTCCCTTGGAACCCACGTGAACTATTTTTCAAGTTGCATATAACTTACCCACAGAAAACAATAAAAAATAATAAATGTTTCATTAAATTAGAAAGGATCATTTTAGTTTTGAAGTTTTTATTCTATTTTCATCATCAAACCCTTTTCCCAAGGAAAAATTATTTTCCTAGTGTGGCAGTCAATGTGTTAAAATTAACCCAAAGACCCAATTTGGACTTTTTCATTATTTACATTTGCATATTTGAAAAGAATTTCTTAGATTTATGTATTCCTTCAATTCACATGCAATAATATTTTTATTTTTTAAAAGAAAAAATAATGGGTAAGAAGAGCATTCAAAATAACATTTAAAACCAATCTACAATTAAAATTAAAATAGTTTGCTGGATTGAAAGATTAGCCTAATGTAAGAAGGGTTATCTTAAGATTATTTTCTTTATGAAATTATTAATTGTTTCTAATTATTTACCTAATGCAGAATTTAAAAAATTCCATTAAAATTAATTTTAGAAAATTAAGATTATGCATGGGGTGATTCAGTAAGTAGCATTATTTTTCCTGATCATTTTAATTAAAAACTGGGTAGTTTTCTTATTTTAATACTTCTATTTTCCTTGTAGCAAGCTTTTCAAAGCAGCATTAAGCTCACTTCTTGCCAAGGCACCCCTACCTGGGTCCCAATCTTTGCTGGGATATTGTTGTTCTTCAACTCTAATAGCCTGCCTTAATTTCTAAACTTTTTTTTTACTTAAATTGGCTTATAATCATAGACATTATAGGCATCATAGTCAACATTTTAAAGGTAAGTAACAGCAATGAAGGTTGCAATAATCAGTTGAAAGTGTTGTGACTTTTCCTTCAGTTTAAATATCAACTCTCTCAATTTTCTCCGACTACAGAGGCCAGTAATAGTAGCCATGAGTCTCGTATTGGTCTAGCTGAGGGGTTGGAATCCGAGAAGAAGGCAGTTATACCCCTTGTGATCGTGTCAGCCCTGACTTTTATCTGTCTAGTGGTTCTTGTGGGTATTCTCATCTACTGGAGGTAAGTTGAGTGTTTTTTGTTTTTTTTTTTTTTGGAAAATTTAATTCATAAAGCTCAGATTGTGCCCATATTTCCTCTGAAAGCTCCTCAAAGCATAGTCAAAATTCCTTTTACTTGAGAGCTTCCATTAATTTATTCAAGTAACTATGAATTCAAGGTGAATTTGTGAATTCAAAAACATAATAATATTATAATAGTTGATTGTTCTTCATGCTTAAATAAATTAAAGATAAAATGGAAGAACTTTTACTTCAGTTACTATTTAATACAGTATTTTGACAGTTGCATTTTTATATTAATTAAATTAATATTCAAACATTATCATAACATTTAACATATATCTAAGCTTTTCACCAGCTGTTATAATTCTAAACATTATTATTTAGGAAAATATAACTTGATATAGTAAAAATATTGGTTTTTTTAATAACAGAAGAGTTTGTACAAGATGCATATCAGCTGTGCATACTGATTAAAAATGATAACTCATGCATAAAAGTAAAAATCAAGCAATTAAAATATAGATATAATTAGGGAATAAAGTTAATGACTTTATTAAGAAGCATGGGCTTTTAAAATTACTTATAATTTGCTTTGAGGATGAAATATAGCTTCACTCTCATCAATAATCCATTAAAAGCTTTAAAGGACAAGAATAATTACACCCATCATAAGCTTCCCATCATGTAGAAAGCAGAACACACAGAGAAGTAGTAAATTTACTAGGCACATAATGTAAGTCAGCATAACTGTATGTTGGAAAAAAAAGACTTTACAACCTATAAGGAATCATATCTGTAAAATAAGAAAGGGCATAGCCTAGTATTTTATACTTTTGTTTTAAAAGAGAATTGTTCAGAAGATCTGTTATTAATTCCTTTTTGTTTAGCAACATCATTCTATACATTTATATCACCACTCTTTATGTGTTCTCCCAAAATATATTCTCTCAGTTTATTCCAAAATATTTACTCTATTTATTGACTGTTTCCCATTTACCTAGTACTGTGTTAACTACTATTGGGAAATATCAATAATGAATGATTGATTGAAAGTAATTGCTTTCAAGAAATCTATTCTTCTTGGGAAAAAATAATTTTTCATAAAAAATATATAAAATATTACACAGAAGTGTATGAATAATAGTAGCTGAAATCTAATATTTAGAAGGGTCAGAGAACAAGGGAATTTGACAGTACAGAATGTGCAGGGTAAATGTGAAATAAAATATATGGCTCAAGCTGCATAGGATTCAGAAGAGTGAAAGGAAAAGGGCATTCCAGGGAGGGACACAGCAGATGGAAACACTGGGAAGTAGAAATGAGCTAGATGGGTTGGAGACGGTGAGGCCTGAAGCATGTAGTTGCATGTAGTTGGACATTGCTTGGCTACATTAGAATGTTTTCATGTTAGTATTTCATATCTCACTTCCTTTACAGAACAGAGTAGACTACAGACTGTGTAGAACAGATCATGCTTTGTTACCCTACATGGGTTAGGAGTCTATTTTCTCTATAGCAACATGCAAACAAACCTGCTTTCTTCAGTTTGCACCCTAGTGACTCCTTTAATTACCAATTATTCGTTTTACAGAAAATTCCATAATCAGCAGAATGCTTTGAGCATAGTACATGATCCATAAATGTTTGTTAAACAGGAATTCATATTGCTTTTCTCCCCACTAAACTTGTTGACCAAACTTTTTGCCACATTGATATCATGTTTATTCAGATTACTGGTTTCCATCTAATCTGATGTTCCCTGCCAAACTAATTTTTTTTAAGTAGTGGGAATCAATGTCACACAAATTTTAAATAAAATGGAAAATACAACCAAATTCTACTTTGCTGTAAATAGTGCTAGCATAAAGTTCAAATAAAGATGCCAGATGGTTTATAATTATAAGACTGAAATAATTAAAATGACTCTCTTAATCTCTATTACTTGTAGAATAAGTGTATAGAAATATATTTTTTATAAATTTAAAAATCCGTGTCTTATTTAATATAATTTGGTATTTCATGAAAAATTAAAATCTAGAGTAGTTTTAAATCTTCTATTAGTAATGAGTCATTTTATGTGTTTTATGTGGGAAAAAGATAAAACTACCAGTTGCAAACATACCAATTTTCCCTTCAATAAAATGTTTCTGCTTTCCTCACAAACAACTCTATGTGCCTTGAATACAGAGTATAGCAGTTTAAAATATGAGTACTTTGATGGTTTATGTATAAATTTAGTATCTCTCAAATATTTTATATCTATTAAATGTTCTCATAAAATTTATTACTCTTTACTTGCCCATTTCAAAATGTTAAATAGTGTTAAATATCTGTCCTACTCACATTCCTGTGTTTGAAATTAATTCACTATAAAATGTAACTTCTTAGATAATAATACACTTAAAGATATTATGTGCTGAATCACAAGATAAGTGCACAATTTTAGTGCATTTTTCAAGGTTTGTGTGAATTATTCAAATTTCAATGTAGGTGCATTTGTAAATGACATTTCACTAGCAAATATGGAAACATTTTAGACTTTTGTGAAAACTACACCCTGTGGAAAGGTTTAAAAATGCAATGACATATCAATAACAGTACTAATAGTAACATAGTCCTTATGAGTTTTTCCAAGTTTATATATTTAAACATTTGTTTAAAAACAGCTTTAAAATTAATGTATTATAAAATTCACCTATTTAAAGTCTACAATTCAATAATGCATTTTAATATTTCCTAACGACTAATGATGTTGAGTATTTTTTTCATGTGCTTACTGGACATTTGTATATCTTTTTTGGAGAAGTGTGTATTTAAATCCTTTGCTGCCTGTTTTTAATTGGGTTATTTATCTTTTTAGTATTGAGTTGAAAATGTTTTTTATATATTTTAGATACCAGTCCTTTATTAGGTATCTAATTTGCAATTATATTCTTCCATTCTGTGAGTTATATTCTAACTTTCTTGATGGTATCTTTTTGTTAAAGTAAAAAAGTTTTTCATTTTGATGAAGTCTAACTCATCTATTTTCCTCTTGTTGCTTGTTGTCTTTGGTATCATAACTAAGAAGGCATTGCCTAACCCAAGACCACAAAAACTAACTTCTAGATTTTCTTCTAAGAATTTAACAAAGTTGAAGGATTCATGCTTCCTAATTTCAAAACTTATAACTAAGCTAAAATAATCAACATAATCTGGTACTGTCATAAGAATGACATATAGATCAATGAAATGTAATTGAGCGTCCAGAAATAAGCTCTTACATTTATAGGCAATGGATTTTAGACAAGTGTCCCAAGACCTTTCAATAGGCAAATAATAGTCCTTTCAACAAATGGCACTAGAATATCCATATACAAAAAAAAAAAATCAAACTGAACCTTTTTTCACACTGTATGCAAAAATGTGCTCAAAAGGGACCACAGACCTAAGTTGAAGAACTAAAATTATAAAATTCTTAGAAGAAAATATTTAAAGATTTTCTGATGTAACTTTTTAGGGAAAAAAAAGGGGGTATAATAAATCCTCTCTTTCATCTGATTTATCTAACTCAAAGTGTTCCCGTACTTTTTGTATAAACCTTGAGAGGAAGCACGTTTTAGCAGAAAGACAGAACAAATTAGAGGTGATAAAATTTGGCTCCCTTACCCAGTCCTGCATAGTATTTGCTGTCTGGCCTTGGACATGTCACTTACCCACCTAGGAATTAGTTTCCTCTGTTTATCATTTGGGTGGGTTCACTAGATCATCTTTAAGATTTCAGTAGGACCTTCTTTAGGGGTTCTGTGAACAAATTCAGCATGCTAAATATTGTTTAATTTTTGTATAAGCATACTAAGGAATGGAACAATACCCATTTCTAGCTTTTAATTCTAAATACTGTGATGAAAAGGTGTAAATTAAATAATCAGATTACCATTGATTGATAGGACCTATGTCTACAAGTTTAAAACAGTCATCACTTTTCCATCATAGTTGAGTGATAATTAGCAGGAGACATAGTTATCAACACTTAGCACATAGACGTGAAGACATTCACTGCTTATACTGAACAGATGGACTATAGATACTGAATCTTGTCATACATTAAATAATATGCCTTGAAATTATTTTCCAGATGTTTTAAGGTATAATTTACATGAGCCAAACCATAGGTTTCTAAGATGCAAAATGAATTCAACAGGGAAGATTTTCAAATAGTTATTTTTAAAGGAAAAAAGGGGAAAATTTTTGAGAGCTTTTTTAAGAGTTAGAACCCAAAAAATACCAAAGCTATATTTAGCAAAATGGCACACCTTCAAAAGCAGTATAGAAAAGGACTTTATATAGACACAATTTTTTTGACTAGGGAGAGTGGGAAGAAAAGCAATATGAATTCTCTCTTGATCTTAAATTCAAATTTGTGGGTCATTGAAGATAGCTACCAACCCAAAATGGAAGCCTCTTAAGTAGAAGGTCACTTCCTATGTAAGACTGTATTATAAAATATTTTTGAGCAATATACAAATGACCTCTATCCATAATGTAGCCTATATTATTTTGTTTTCCCACTTATAAGCTTTTTGGTATTATTTATGAGGTTATTTTTTGGAAATTAATACCAAGTGACATTGTTGAACTACTTATTTTCTAAAACCAACAAAGATTCGATTACATAGCTAAAAAGAGTAAAGCTGATATTTACCCAGATACTACAATGAACATTAGCAACATGTTCAACCTCAATGCTAATAGGTTTTAATTTATCCTTTTATATTCTATGAGACGCTGCCTTCTTTCCTTGCAGTCAGAATTATTGGTGCATCCCCTATTCATCCATCCATCCATACATCCATCCTTCTTTCTCTACCTAAATACCCCATCTCTGCCTCCAAAATGTTTTGAGATTTCAAGTTATCCCATTCGAGGCTCAGGTAGGCAAGAGAATCTAGGATGCAGCTGAACAGCATATGGTTGGTGGGATTTACTTGCTGTTAGAAATTCATCTACTCATTCAACAAACATAGAGCACCTATTGTACTCCAGGCACTATATTGAGAGTTGGATTTACATAAAATCAAGAGATATGGCTCCATTTTTTTAAAAAAAATGTAATAAGGATATAGGCAGAAAACAAGTATATTACAAAATAATTACTCTAACCACCAATTAAGACAAATGCTTAAAATAATGTAGGATCATGTCCAGGAAATGAAGATCATTGTTGGATTGCTTGGTATACTTTTCAAGTAGTCTTCACATAGGTGGGTATGGATGGAAGTTTGGGGTGCAGTGAAAACACAGACGGTGGAGTGCTAAACTCTGCTTAGGAAATGACAGGCTGTTTCACAGAGAAGATACTTCTGAGCTGTCTTGATGGAGGACAGATTTTTGTCTGGCATATTGGTGAGTGAGGCATTTTGGTAAGAATGAGAAGCATGTTTAAAGCAGGGAGGTGAAATACCAAGTTAGGAGAGAACAAGGTAGGTTCACTGATCTACAACATGTTTGTATTATTGGACTATAAACTTCAAGGAGAAAAGTCAAACATATAAAATACTGAACTAGAACCAATGGCTAGAAGGAGAGAAAGAGAGAAAAGTTCAGGGAGAAAAATATCAATAGTAAGAGCCATAACAATGGAGCAGAAAGCCTTTGGGTACCATTTGGAGGTACTTAGAGTTTTGAGTTAGTACAAGAAAAAAATATCTAGCAACTAAAGATGACTGATAGGAGAGATCTCCTTCTCACTGAAGGTATTCAAACCAAACCTTCTTAACTTTATGTCAGATTCTTGTATCAGCTGTGATATTGCACTAGTTCCATTAAGGCATTTTACAACTTTAAAATTCACTGAAATACTTTATAAAAACCTGTCACCAGCTTGTGTGACTGTATTTTCGAGAAGTCAAAAGGATTTTAATTCTGTGATCTTAAAAGCACATACCAAGTCCAATGTTTACATAGCAGTGTGTCAGAACATGCAACATCCAGGGTTGCACAAATAACCAAACTTTCCCTATAGTTTCTGCTTCAGTCTGGTTTCAGTTCTGCTCATGTGGACCCTATATAGGATAGTTTCTTTATCATGGGAGCTGTGACACTCATCTCTCCCATTCCATATCAATCTGCCGCTTTCCAGGATATAAACCTAGTGCAGGGTCCCTTTGACACTTGATTCTGTATCCACTCACCTTCCTCCTGTACCACCTGTTCTTTCTTGAAGATTTTCTTGAGTTTGGTCAATATACATTCTCTTGGGTTTGGTTATCAAGACTTATACTATCACAGCAGAAGGCTAATTTTTGCTGTGTACATCATTGCTCTAGGGTTGTTGGGTTTTTTTTCTTGTGACATTAAGGTTGTAAATAAACTATATAATTTTATACTACTCCTTATAGCAGTTTATTCCTTGAACAAATATTTGGGTCTACCCACAACAAGACAAACACCCTCCTTAGCACTGAGGACTAACAGTGCAATGATTAAGATGAAGTACTTTACCTTGTTGGGCTTATACTCTAATAAGAAGAGACCAACTAAAAACATGTAAAACAAATAAACAAAAACATAAATAATAGTATTTCAGATAATAAGCTTCACAAAAGGGCAAAAATAGCAGCTTAGTGGGATGGGCTGATTCTTTTAGCTATCAAGGTGAGGCAAGGACTCAAAAAAGAAGGTGGCATTTGGGCTAATGCAGAAATGATGGGAAGGAGGCAGGCAGGCAGGCAGAGGGAATGATGACCAGAGCCAAGGTCCTGAGGTGCTACTGACAGGGCTTCTTTAGGGGAGAAAGAGAGGATCAGTGTGGGCTGGAGCCTGGTGGGTGAGGAAGAGAGTTTGTAGGAGATGAAGCTACTGAAGTAGATGGGGGCCAGGTCACCGAAGGTCTTTTAGCCCTTGGTAAAATAATTGGATATTATTCTAATTGAAGTAGGAAGCCATTCAATATTTCATCTAGGAAACTGATTTACTAAAAAGTATAGAGATTTAGGTGTATCACTGTGTAAGAACAAATGTAATGTTAAAGCTCATTAGGATGAATGACTTGTGGCTGGAGGGTTTTAAATGGAAAGTGAAATTGGCATTTTAACTCAAACAGATAGTTCTGTTTCAACTGAACCACTCATGAATAATAGTTCAAATAAATTAAACAACCCACATCAAAGAGTATCTTAGCAGTTTTAATTATCTAAAGTTTTAAAATTAAGGATGGTTTGCATTACTTTATAGCAGTAGTTGATTCTTTTCTCAGTAGTTTGTAATGTGCTCTTACCAGATGTTACTCCTATTATCTGAATGAAAATAGATTCAGGTGACATTGTAGGTCATAGTTGTCATTGATTCCAAATATATTCATTCTCAAAACCCTCATCAACAAGGGTAGCATCTGTTGGAAAGAAAATCATCCCTTTTCTTTTGTTGTATGCTCATTATTTCCTCATTTAAGTTCTGTCACTACTGCAGTATCATACCTACAGTATAAAGCTGCCTTATTTTTTGTCAAAATGTTATCACTGTTGAAATTTCATTTCTACATGGTCAGCTTGCTGCCTTTTGCTAACAGCTGAATATGCTCAGAAGGACATTGTCACTTAAATGTTGAGTGAAAATAGCTTTGGACATTATTTCTTTCCACTCTGGTCCTATTCAAGGTAGCAGGACACTTTGGTATATAGCAACAATGGAACCTAGGGCATTGAGATTTCCTATATCAGCAAAGTGTTATTTGATACTTTGAACCAGCTACAACTTCAAATGCCATCTCTGCTTTCAGCATATCTGATATTTGCTTGCTCTTCCACATCCGGTACAGGGAAAACTTGGAAACCATAAAATCCTTTAATGTTTGTGACTTGTTAAAATAGATTTAATTCCAGCAATCCCTCTTATGGGTAAATATCTCCTTTTGTCTTAATTCTGGAGATTTCCATCATAATTTTTAAGTAGCTCAGAAGTTGTCTTCTTATATCCATGGCAGCTAGTAGTATAAATTGCTTTCTTTCTTTTTTTTTTCCAGGAAGTGCTTCCAGACTGCACATTTTTATTTAGAGGACAGCACTTCCCCTCGAGTAATATCCACACCTCCAACACCTATCTTTCCAATTTCAGGTAATAGCTTAAAGTGTGACCATGAGTAGCTGGTAGATGTTGAATGAAAAGCACATTGTTGGAAGATTTGCTTTTATTGGAGTATTTTGCAGATGACCATAATGTAGATTAGTACATATTTGTATGGCACAAAATATTTATCACATCATGTATAAGGCACCTGTGTTTATATCCTGTTCTCATTAACTTTAAACATTCATAACCATTCAGATGATATGTCAAAATAATTTATAATTGTTCAGCCATAATATGTTTAAAAAATAAACATTTATAGAAATAAAATGTTAGTTAAGAGTAATGCTTTTACTCACTTCTATTACTTTAGTAGAAATCTAAGCAACAAAAATCAGACTAAATCAATGCAATAAATGTGAATAGGAGAAAATGACAAGAATAAAGTCTAATTCCTTTCTGATCATTTGAGTTTATGTGAGAAAAGGTTTGTTAACTACATTAGAAAAAAACTATGAAATGGTGGTAATAGTGAAAAAAATTGTATTACAAAAAATGTATGATTGCTTGAAACACTTTTGTCTCAAATGTTAGAATACTTGAATATTCTGAAAAACTTTGGCTATTTTTATCAGAATTTACCTGGATAACAATACTCAAAAATTAGCTAGGGTCTTTTTGATTGAGACAGCCACTGACCTTAGGGCTCACACTGTAAGTAAGATTACAACCACTTAATTAATTAATATTTTATAACATCTCAGAATGAAAAGTGGCAACAAAAAATGGATTTGTCTAGAATTGTGTGAACTGGAGGATAGAGGAAAAAATGGGAAATAGAAGTTATCAAACCGGGAATACAAAAGAAGAAATTCATCTATGTGGTCATTTTAAAGAAGTCACTTTAAACTATCTTATTGATGCTCCATATATTATTGCTAGGGGCCCAAATTCTACATGATGTCATCTTTTGAAATCTCATGACTAAAGAAAAATAAACAGAAGAAAGAGAAGCATTTTAATTTTTATATTTACATATTAATGTATGTTTTTATATATTTATATTATGTATAATATATATTAAATATGTATATATTTTCCTTTTATGCTTTATAAAGATAAGGAATAGGAGTGTTTTACTGTTTTTCCTATTTTGTCAACTCTGTGTCTTTAAACACCACTGTTTTATTTCTGCTTTTCTAGTTTATATTAAAAATACTGTACATACATTTTAGCATAACAGAGTTCTCATTAACATATTTGAAATTTTGAAACTAACAGCTCTCAGTTATTTGTTACATTTTGATTCCCTTCATTTCCAAACATATCTCTTTTACATACCCCGTCAGCGTGGGCATGCAGATTAACTCTAATATTACCCAAAGTCCAATATAGTTTATTATTAAAAAATACAATAATCAAAAATCAGGACCTTGTCCAGGAAATCCAAACCTGCCCACTTTGAATGTCAAAGGAGTGATGAAGGGCATCTCCTCATTTTACTTGCTTGGCTTGGCTTTCACGAGATTCACTCGTGATTACCTGAATATGCATGTTTTCATGTAAAAGCAGAAAATGAAAAGATACGTAAGTCTCACTTACTTGCAGACCAATTAATAAAAGAAATTACAAAAATACCTGACTCAATAAAAATTAGTAGTTTGCTTATGAAAGGAAGTTGGTTGTGCAGGATAATATCAATGGATTTGAAGGACATTTACTAAAACTAATGATTTAAGTGCGACAAGTCATTTCTGTTTTCTTATCTAATTATAAAAGCTACTTCCAGGCAAGGTCCTTCTGTAGGTGTGAAGGTAGAATTGCACCTTTGTTTAGTATTTCTTAAGCTTCACTGACTAATTCAATTTTAGTATTCAGGTCCACTCATCTTAGAGAGAGAACAGATGGATTCCAATTTTTTTTATTCAAATAATTCTTGGTAACTGAAGCTTAAAAATATTAGATGGCCTAAATGCTGAACATCTGTTGATATAAATAACTGTTTCTAGTGAAATGTGTTTGATGTTTCCTTGTCAGAGAAATCACTTGTGAAATTGCATACTGTGAACTAGTAATATGTTTAATCTAAGAAAGTCTTTTCAGGAAAAGGAAAAAAAAATCAGATCCAGTTAAAATAATTTGGCCCCTTCACAATTAATTAACAGATCCAGTGACTTTGTTTACATAGCATATTTTCAAGTTAGAATTCTTGAAATTTTACAGATTAAATGTCCCAAAGGCTTTTGACATTATCCTTAATGAATATTCTGCATATAAATGTTTTCCATTATTTATGGGGAAATGGCAAAAAATGTTTTCAAATGTAAACATATGACTATTTGACTATAAGACATTAAACTAACAATTGTATAAAACTTAAATTTTACTATATATTATGTTTAGTTCATAGTAATATTGAAAATATATTATTTCTGCATTTTTTCCTGAGAATTGACATATAACTCCCACTCATGTTAAAGAAAGTTGTCCATAAAAGATGCAGTCCATTAATAAGAAATGAGGCTTTGGTTATATTTACAAATTAACATTGAAAATAAATTATTTTCTATTTAAAAAGAACAAGCACATTCATTTCTGTTAAATTATCTTAACACAATTTCTTTATTCACTTAGATGATGTTGGAGCAATTCCAATAAAGCACTTTCCAAAGCATGTTGCAGACTTACATGCAAGTAATGGGTTCACTGAAGAATTTGAGGTATGATTTTAGTGTGTCTGTTTTAAATAATATAGAATATAGTAAATTTAAAAGATTTAGCAGTAGGCTATATCTTGACCTAAAGACATTGAGACCATTTTCACTTCTAGTAAAAATATTAGTTCTACAATGACTTACGTGTTTAAAGATGTGTCGTAGTTATCATATAATTTAGAAAATTGGTTTTCTATTTTAAAAGCTGAATTATACTAGTGGGAAATCAAAAACATTGTTAATTCTTTCCCGTAAAATACTTATCTCTAGTATTCTTTTTTATAATCTGAATTAGTAACACTGATTCCTTTTAATTTTCTAAATTATACTAAACTACTAAATTTCATAATTTTCAGCTCAAGTACATATAAATCCTTAATTGTAAGTTTTATATCATTATAAATATATAAAAACTTCTTATTATACAAGATAAAAATCATATAATTTTCTCAAGAAAATATACATTTCTAACATTTCAAAAAAAATTTGAACTTCATAATCAGCCAGAATTTTTCCAACAATATTCTGTTAAAATACTCTTAGAAAGGGCAGAGAAGTTTACTGCAAATTTATCATAGTCCACTGAGCTATCAGTTAAGCAGATTTTTCAAAATAGGGAGCCAAAAGTCCAAAGTTAACAATATCAACCATAAAAAATAAAAGCTACCATTTGTGAGCACCCTGTAATGTGTCATTGGATTGAAGGCTTCCACGTTCAACCTCTACCCAACTCTGGCAGCTATTTGTCATTATTTCTATTGATATTATTAATGAAGTCAAAAATCCATAAAAGTAATTAACAAGGGGTAAATAGCAGAGCGGGATTCAAACCCAAATCTGTAATTTTAAAATTCATGCCCTCAGCTCTGGCAACCCCCCTCCAGAAAGCATCATTTTGCCTTTTTGCCTCCCTCTGCCTAAACCCTAAGGGCTCTGTGGGCCTCCCTTTTTGAAGTGCTTTGAGCTCTGATCCTGATCGCAGACTCCACTCTCTCCTGATTCAGTCTCCCCAGTGCACTCAACGTCTGACCCAGGAGTCACAGCCAGAAAGATATATTTAAGGAAGAAAAATATCATAGATTAGAAAGCTTTAAAAAAAATCAAAAGAAATAGAAGCAAAGTGTGTTATGTTTTTACTAAATTAAAAATAATAGAAATCAATGGATTTAATTCTAAAAAAATTCCAAATCATAGCTACATTTAGTAAGAAAGCAGTGTGAGCTAACACCAAGTCAAGTGGAATAATATGAAGAATTACATATTTAAAACATCAAATTATTTTTTCTTACCATAAGCTAGAAGCTACTGGTGGTATAACTTCAATGTTAACTGACAGAAATTATCAGGCTTACATCAAACAAAATTGTAATTGCCATAAGGGAAAATATGCCAAAGATGGGTCTTATCTTCCAAATATTAAAAGAAATGAAACATAAGTAAAAATAAACAATTTCTAATAAAAGCTGGTGACAGTATAAGCCCAAAGGCAGTTTAATGGTTTTCATAATAAAATCATTTTAAATATCATTAAGTAGTCCATAATAATTAAATTAATAAAATAATCTCACATTTTTACTCAAAATGTTTTTTCTTAATTTCATTGCTTTTAACTCACAGTGTGATTAAAGGAAGCTTTTCATTAACTTAATTAGCTTAATAACTAATAATGCTACACCTTTTAAGTGGTTCATATATTAAATTCTTTTCAATTGTTCAGAATAACTTGTTGCAAAAGAGGCCTTAAAAGCTTATTTGGAGAGGGGCTGGGCCATTTACTAATGAATCAGATTGTATTGGGGTTACATACTTTCTCAGAAATTATAAGGCTTTTATTTTATTAATACTAAATAATTATAAATTCTAAACTAATGTATTTAGATAGAAAACATCTCTGAAAACCATGTTAATTCATTTTTAATAAAAAATTGGCAGAAATAGTTTTTCTGTGCCCATTGAAGTTTAAGCAAAAAAGATATCTACTATTTAAATATATAGACAGTAACGCTATCTAAATTCTATTTCAAAATGATACAGCATGTGTGATAAAAAAAATTAGGATATTTTTTAATATTTGACAGCTTTAAATCTGTTACAAACCACCTAATAGGATACTGTTTACTCTTTAAAATAACTCAAAAAAAAATAAAAACAAATAGTATATCACTAATTCAGAGTTTCAAATAGTGCTATAGTGGTCAAATAAAATTATATTTGAATATTAGCAAATCTGACTAATATCACAAAATGTGTTATGGAATATGTGGTTCTTCTCATCTGCATTTTAAAAAATCATCATATTATTACATCACTGTCCCCTTTTAAAGATGTTATTTTCTTCTTTTACATAATTTTAAGGTTCCAAATTATTAGACATTTTGATTTGCATGCAACTGTTTGAAACATTCTGTTTTGTTAGTATTTGACAAATGTATTTATTGCATGATCATAGTTTTCCATTGTAAACCTAATATGAACGCTTTTTTTTCTCATTTGTCGTGTGCTGTGGAATTTGATTTCTTTACTTTTTTGGCATTCATTTCCTCATTAGACACTGAAAGAGTTTTACCAGGTAAGGCATTATTTCACTGCATTTTATTTTAGCCAAGAAGTAGTTGTAACATGTAAAAAAAAAAAATTATTGTTTGCATAGATTATTTTGTTTGTTTTGTCTTCCCTAGTATATTTTAAGGCACTTTGTTTGACAGAGTATGTGCTGAAATGGTATGCATACAATTTTTTACAGGAAGTGCAGAGCTGTACTGTTGACTTAGGTATTACAGCAGACAGCTCCAACCACCCAGACAACAAGCACAAGAACCGATACATAAATATCGTTGCCTGTAAGTATTTCCTTAAGGGGACTCCATTATCATTGTCATTGTTGTGCCCTTATACAGAGTCCTGAAGTCATCTGACAGCAGACCTCGGTGTGGCTGTTCAGGGACCTTTGTATCAGGAAATAAGACTTGTGTAAGATAATACATAGCATTATCACTGTAACTTAAATACATCCTATAATTAATCACATCTGTTTCTTTTAAACAAAACAAACTCAAATTTTATTCCAGTCCTTTCCTCAGGCCCTAAGGACTGTACATCTCTTCTTGTGGTTTCTGTCATTATTGATATTCCATGGTCCCATTTCACATAGGATCTACTTACTTTTATGTGAATTTACCAACCAAAAGAGATTCCCTTTAGACTTTCTCTTTCTTCTTCTATCTTTACTTTTTCCTTCTTTTCTTGGCATTCTTCCTGGGGTCTTAGAAAGAATTGGTTGATACCTGCTGGATATGATGAACACTGTTCAAGTGATGGGCACACTTACAGCCCTGACTCAAACTTTACAAAAGTGCTCCATGTCACGAAATTTTAGTACCCTTCATATTTTGAAATTAAATGGTTGGATTCCTCCTTTTTATTTCTTCCTTCCCTTTGTTTTCTTAGGCAATCTCTCTCCCTTCCTCCTCCATGAGCAGCTATGTGGTCTTTTTCATTAATGCAATTTTAATTATTTTTTTCTATGAAATTACTTTTTTCCATCTTCTTATAGTACTTTTGGCTACATCTGTCCTCTCTTATTTTCCTTTATATTCCCATCTATCTCTTGAAATTCATCCTCATGTTCTTTCCCCACTCAAAAAAAAAAAAGCTTCCTATATCCTTCCTCATATATTCAACAGGCCCCCTAGCTTCATATGAACACAATACTGCGAGCTAGGTTATTTAAATTCCAGTTCCATTCCAGTTCTGGAAGCCAGTGGAGATGCACTCTCTTCCCTTTTATTATCATGTTCACTTAAATAGTTCACATAGATGTTGCTTCTTTTCCACAGAGTTTACATCAATTTTTATGTTTTAGTAGAGGGATTTTAAGTTTGTCTTCGTCAGCTGAAACAACTGTCCTGGCAGCACATAAAACTCAGTTGCCTCTCAGAAGAGAATTGTTGTTAAACTTCCCTCTACAAGCTAAATAGAAAATACCCATCAGGTTATTAAAGAGGGGAAAGAGATTAGCACTTATTGAACACCTACTAAGTACCTGAACTGTAAATACATTGTTTCATTTAATTTTTGAAACAACCTGGTAAGAGAGGCAAGAGCAGTCCTCTTTTATAGATGAAGAAAAACAAACAAGAAATTCTAAAAATATTAGAACCAAAACACAAAAATATATCAGCCTGGCATCCAGAACCATCTTTCCATTGTTGCCATGCATCTATTTCCATGTACATTCCTGTACCAGTATGAATTGTTACCTTCCCAGAAATGTTAATATCCCAGTGTTTTTATTTGTCATGGTTTGGTAAAGAATAAGCCTGTCCAGTGAAACTATCAAATTTCCTTCTAGTAACACTTTCCTTTCTCCTTACGTATCTGTTCCAAATAAATATAATCTCTCGTTAGAATGCATTTAATCCCAAACTCCTTATTTCGACATATTTAAATAACCATAGTTTCCTTTTAATTGGCAATGCGGGGTCCGCCTTCTCTGTGCTTGGACAGCTGTTCTGTCTCCCTTTGCAGAGGCTCCTCCTGCAAGAGTGGTTTGCTGTAACCATTCACAGGAACTTCCTAGGGTCCTTTTGCTTCCTTCTCTACTTTCTCATGCTCCATCAACCTCCTGTTCAGACCACAGGTGTGGCATCCTTCCCTAGCTTTCTGAGGTCCCATCACTCTTCTGTCTCGTGGAGTGGCTCTCCATTGCTCAGAGCCCCAGTAACTATCTCTGAAATCCCACCTAAGAAGCGAACTTCAGATTTCAATTTCTAGTGAAACTTTTATCATCTCAGAGCAATATAGTTTCTGCCTTCATATCCTCCTGCTACTTTGCACTTCTTTCTTGACACCTGTGCGTTGCTTTCTGCGTATATGTCCTATTCTCACCTATTATGTTAGAAATTTTCCTCAAGGCAGAGATTTTCTTTTTAATCTTTGTCATCCCTGTATTCCCAAAAAGCCTATTAAAGTAAATGACTTTTTGACTTTGATTTTAACTGTATTAGATAAATTGTTATGCAAATATAAATGATATTTATGCTGAAAAGTAGTCTGTGATACAGTGAAATATATTCCTTTTTATTACAGATGACCATAGCAGGGTTAAGCTTGCACAACTTGCTGAAAAAGATGGCAAACTGACTGATTACATCAATGCCAATTATGTTGATGTAAGCATGTTTTAATTGAAAATTTTATATAGTTTATACTAGATTCTGAATTTATCATACCACAACACCATACATATACTAGTGTTTAATATGTGTTATTTGATAGATAATAAAAAATATAAACCAGCAGTAAATAATTAAGAGATCTATCTTATGAATAAGGATTTCAGATTGAATCATACTCAAGCTCTTGTACTTAGTTTATCTCCTAGGTGAGGGAAGTAATTCAGGTTGGAATGTACAGTCAAGGTAGAACAAGTATATTCAGATAGTTTTATGACTTCTTGTATGTGAAAGGCAGGATCAGTGCTTATTTTTAATTTCTTATAGCTCCTGGCATGGTGCTATGTAGTATAGCAAATGCTCAATAAATCCTAACTAAAAAATGTTTGTGGCAGTACTCACTAAAAGGAAAATGTGATTATTAAACCAGTTGTCAGCCATCATAATTTTGAGTACTCTTCAGGATACCCAGCTTTGTGGAAATGAATGGAGCTCAGCAGGGATTGTAGACAACTCAAACCTACTGGTTTTCCACTGTGGTGACCTGAATGTCAATGGAACTCACTTATTTCCCTGATACTGACCTCATAGTCTAGCTACCTTCAGGTTAATGCTATGTGGAACACTGAATTAAAGAAGTGAGTGCGGAAGTGTGAGGTGGGTTTGTTGTAGTCAGCTGCTTCATGCTTCCAGTGGAGGCAATATAATTGTCAGAACAAACATGGTCTTGGAGTTAGCTGGCTAGCTGTGGGATCTTGGAAAGTCACTTAATTCCTCTGAGCTTCAGTTTCCTCATCTCCAAATCAGGAATAATATTTCCATTTTACATAGAGCAAGGATTAAGTTTAATGTTTGTAAAACATCTGATCCAAAATTGGGTGCTCAATGATGGATAACTATTAATGATTAGCACTTCTTAGTGCCACCAAGGAAAGTAAGGAGGTCATATTCCAGAGGTTTTTTAACTGTTATAGACAGCTGGGCCCCATTGCCTAAAATACATTTCAAAGCAGCACTATTAAGGACCAGACTTTAATCATAGTAAATAGATTTGAATTAAATGCACCTGGAAGAAAGATGCATAGAATTGTGGTTGTACCAAAGCAAAGAGAGCTCTTATTATTATTATTATTTACAAAATCATAAAGAAAAGTTGCTATCTTTGCTAAAACTATCAAGTTTTTCCAACTTTGCAAGTGTATTTTTTATGGCTTTCTTTTCTAGAAAAAGTATGCTGCTGACCTTAAAAATTTAAGTATTATACAGTTAAAGGTGGCATAAAAGTCAGTAAGAAATATTCATCATTTATTTCTTCAGGGCTACAACAGACCAAAAGCTTACATTGCTGCCCAAGGTCCACTGAAATCCACAGCTGAAGATTTCTGGAGAATGATATGGGAGCATAATGTGGAAGTCATTGTCATGATAACGAACCTTGTGGAGAAAGGAAGGGTATGTAGGTAATCTATCACGTCGTTCCCCAAAATAGTGATTAGAAGTGCTTTAAGTTAGTTTTAATAGAGTAGCATAAGGAAACAGCAAAAGTGATGAAAGCTAATTGGGAATGCTTTCTAGTAAATACAACAGCTAAAGGTCAACTATTAACATTATAAATGAAAAGATTTCCCTGTGAATCAAGCTATCTACCTTTTAAATGCATTCATACTGTGAAAAAAAGTAAACGGACTCACTGAAAAGCAATGTAGAGTGAAGTAGATTTTAATTCACTGGACCTGGAATCTAGTCCTGGCTCTGCAGTAACCTGATACATCTGGCCTCTCTATCCTCATCTGAAAGGGGTAAGTTTGGACTACGTCATCTCAATCTTTTTCACCTATGTGATTCTATTCCTGGTATCTTCTATAAATAATTTGCAATTGCTCAGAAAGAAAATAAGATACTTAGAAGGGTGGATGAAGTTCGTTTCTTTCACTACCTTAGGCCTTTATTGATTTCCAGGACAACTTTTACACTGAGCATTTGAAATACAGAAATAGCATCTTTACTTTTTCTTTTACAGAGAAAATGCGATCAGTACTGGCCTGCCGACGGTAGTGAAGAGTATGGGAACTTTCTGGTCACTCAGAAGAGCGTTCAAGTCCTTGCCTATTATACGGTGAGGAATTTTACTCTAAGAAACACAAAGATAAAAAAGGTGAGTCAACAAATGACGGACATAATCAATTGAGTAACGCATTTGGTCTTTTTTTACATGAATGGTATAACCAAGACGGGATAAAAATAACCTTATCACAGCTACACCTTGATCCTAAAGGTTTCTGCTACGTCTTTAAATGCCAGCTGTGGCTTTGGAGCCAGATTGGTCGTGGTGCTTGTGATTGCAGTGGGTGTGATACACAAATGCAAATCCCTGCCTCGTGTGGTAACTGCACAGGATACCCCTGAGATAATCCCAACATCCAACTAAAAAGAGTAGAGATTTAAATAAGGGAAAGGAAAAAAAAAGAAGAAGAATGTATTTTTCAGGGTTCTCCAGTGAAACAGAACCAATAAGACAGAGAGATACAGAGATATAGAGAGAGATTTATATTTTTAAGGATTGATTCACACAAATTGTGGGGATTAAGGGATCTGAAATCTGTAAGGCAGGTAGGCTGGTAAGAGTTGATGTTGCAGTCTAGAGTCCAAATTCATCAGAGCAGCAGGCTGGAAATTCAGGCAGGGTTTCTCTGTTGCAGTCTTGAGAAGAATTACTTCTTCAGGAAAACTGTCTGACTTTGCTCTTAAAGCCTTCAGCTAATTAATTGAATCATGCTCACCCACCTTATGGAGGGTAATCTGCTTTACTCAGAGTCTACTGATTTACATGTTCATTACATCCAAATAATACCTTCACAGCAACATCCCCTGTGACGTGTTTGACCAAACAACTGGCCACCATAGCCTCTTAGGCATGTGGATGCAAAATTATCACAAATGACATTGTGCCCTTTTTGCTTCATATAGACTGCCAACATCAAGCTGTGAATCCTGACTTGATGTTTAAGAACCCCTATAACTTTCTGAAATAAAAAAAAAAAAAAAAAGAATCCCACGTGTGTGTGTGTGCTACTGCTATTAGTTGTCTGAACTCTTCCAGGGCTCCCAGAAAGGAAGACCCAGTGGGCGTGTGGTCACCCAGTATCACTACACGCAGTGGCCTGACATGGGGGTGCCAGAGTACTCACTGCCCGTGCTGACCTTCGTGAGAAAGGCAGCCCATGTCAAGCGCCATGCAGTGGGGCCTGTTGTCGTCCACTGCAGGTGAGTCTAAGAGATGTGCCTGTAAACCCACAGATTGCTGGTGCTAACAGAAAGGAAATCAATAGAACAGAGTTTTTGCCAACATGGAAATGATTTCGGGAAGTCATGGGGATGAAATTTTATGTTCATTTTTATAAGTATGAATCCCTAGAAAATGAGTGTGCCAGACTCAGAATTTGCTGAATATTTCAAAGCACCAGGTATTTTTATGATGTTTATTATTCGATTGTTGAATTGGATTTCGGCTTGTTAACCGTGTGAGGCAGGCAGAACAACCGTTTTTGTTGATAAACAAATACTCATTACAACATGTAACAGTGTGGGATAAAAATGTTTGAGACACAATCCCTGTTCCTAGGAGTTAATAGTCTGCTGTAGCGTTGTTATGCCGAGTGTACATCAGAGAATCCAAAGCACACAGAGTGTGAGAAATTTGGCAAAATAATTTTAAGGTGTTTTTAAAGACTTGGCAACCAAAATCCTTTTCTCATTTTCCTGAGTTATTTCTAATACATCCTACTAAATGTAGTATCAATTTAATGGTACCCAAGAATTCTAATTTCCAAAACTTGCTTGATAAATAGAAATAATGATATTTTGAAGAAAGAGGAAGAAAATACGTTAGATGTTATCCTTTAATAGTTTTCAGTTAAAATAATAATAGCAATAAATGTTTACGGAATGCTATGTACCAAGCTTTATGAACACAAAAATTAAATTCATTTCTATCTGCAGTATTTTTGTCAAAGCAGTGTCTGTTTCTACAGAGGCAAGTGTTTTCCTTTGATATACAGCTTATCTGACACATTCTAATTACCTATTTCAGGAGTTATCCTCAGACAAAGTTTGAGAGACCTATCTTGACTTTTTAAAATCTGTTTGCCTGAGGAAAACAGGAAGATGCAAGAAAAATAGCTCTGAAGGTCAGGGATTGTTTCTTAGCAAATGGAGAAGGACCAGGCTATTGTGCAGAGCAGGTGCTAATTTTCCACTCTAGCACTTCCCACTTGTCGGAACATTTGAAAAGAATCCCTGTCTGTGAATTCTGTCCCTCTGGTAGCGGCTTTGAAGAAGTCGACAGATAATGGCCCTTTAGAAATGACTGAAGTTATGCTTTATTCTCGCAATCTCACTGAAATGATATTTTCAGCTGAAAGCTTTATCAAATTCTTTTCCCTATTAATGCAGAAACCTTTACAAACATGTCTACCTGGAAATACAGACCCAGGGACCTTTGCTTTTCAGAATTTGGTGAAGCTAATGCTTTCATTTTTCTCAAACTACATGTCTATTTGCTACACTCTGATACATAATATTTTCATTGTATAATATATAATGAATAATAAATGCAGTTATTGAAAATGTAAAACTCTCCAACAGAAATAGGTTGTTTTGCATTTAAACAAATGGCAAAAAAAACTTAAAAAGGGACTTTTAAATTTGTTATTTAAAGCATTATGTTCAACTACTAAACTGTTTATAATTTTGTATTGCTAAATTTATTATATGCCTCATTTTCTTGGGGAAGGAAATTATTTTAATGAACATGACAGTAGTGACATATCTTTAAATTTATTTTATGCTTAATATTGAAATATTTCTTTCTTTGTATTCTATTCAGTGCTGGAGTTGGAAGAACAGGCACGTATATTGTGCTAGACAGTATGTTGCAGCAAATTCAACACGAAGGAACTGTCAATGTATTTGGCTTCTTAAAACACATTCGCTCACAAAGAAATTATTTGGTACAAACTGAGGTATGATTAAAAAAGATAATTTTATTCATCTAACATATGCAAACATCACTAAAATGTAGGTGTATTCATCTCCTAGGACTGCCACAGCAAAATATTACAAACTGGGTGGTTTTAATAGTGAGTACATGTGGTTTTTGTTTTTCCATTTTTGCGATACTTCACTAGGAGGATGGTCTCCAGTTTCATCCAGACTGTAGTAAAAGGTATTAATTCATTTTTTTAATGATTGAGTAGTACTCCATGGTGTATGTATAGCACATTTTATTAATCTACTAATGAATTTATGGGCACTTGGGATGATTCAACATCTTTGTGATTGTGGATTATGCTGCAATAATCATTCTAGTGCAAATGTCTCTTTGACTTTTTTTTCCCTTGAGTAAATGCCCAGTAGTAGGAGTGCTGGATGAAATGGTAGGTCTATTTTTAGTTCTATGAGGTATCTCCATGCTATTTTCCATAGAGGCTGCACTAGTTTGCAGTCCCACCAGCAGCGTACAAGTGTTCCTTTCTCTCTTCATCCACACCAGTATCTATTGTTTTGGGACTTTTTGATAAAATTGAAACTAACCAATCAGCACTCATGTGCACAGATGGAAGTAAAACTCAAATGGAAATCATGCAGGTGGGAGTGCGTAGAGAGGATGGGTGAAATCTTTTCTATCAGATACAATGTACACTGTCTGGGTGATGGGCACACTTATAACTTTAACTCAAGCAGTACAAAAGCAATTCATGTAACCAAAGCATTTGTAACCCTGCAATATTCTTCAATTAAAAAAGAACAAAAACAACATGTACTTTTCAGATGGCATCAAACTAAACAAGTAACCAATGAAGGAGAGAAGAGTCTTAATTTTAATCAGAGGATGTATATTCAATGACAATGGGACTAACTCTAATTCGTTGGAATGTCGGAAACATTCTGAGACGGTGCCACAATGCTGTAAAGGAAAAGATGCATCATGTCAAAAGAAATTTAATTCCAATCAGAATGCAAATTATTTGAAGACAGCAACCATGTCTGTCTCGCTGCTGTGTCTCCAGATCACAGAAGTGTTTTGCACAAAGAAGGTGCTCAGTAAACAAATGACAAAATTGATGGTAAACAATGGAAATTAAGCACACTTTAAATGGCACAAGTTTTTAGGCAAACTGAAGATAGTCATTAAAAAAAATGGCACAAATTTATACAGAGAATTTTAGAGCAGAAAATGATGACATCTATTTCAGGTAGATTTTTTTTTTTAAGTAATCCATACAAAGTGGTAAAAGAATAAAAGGAACCCCATCTCCACCAAAAAAAAAAAAAATCAACCAGGCATGGTGATGCATGCCTGTAGTCTCAGCTACTTGGGAGGCTGAGGTGGGAGGATCACTTGAGTTGGAGGCTGTAGTGAGCTATGATCACAACACTGATTCCAGCCTTGGGGGAAAGTGTGATACCCTATCTCTAAAAAAGATAAAAAAGAAAGAATCAAAGAATCCACAGAAAGAAAGTCTGCCTGGGTAGAGAAGAGAGCACACAGTTAAAAATATAAATTAAAACGTAGTGAAGATATTTTTTCTAAATCCTTTCATTCTCTGAAGTCTCAAATCATCTGGTGTCAAGTGAAAGTTAAAAAACGGTTGAAAAATAGAGACTCAGTCTCCCTTTCTAGCCATCCTAGTTTGGAATTCCTTCTTAAATAGCAGCTTACAAATATCTCCTTTTTATATTATCTTACATCACTTAATTTTTCATTTAAGGAGAATATGAAGTTCACCCAAAAGCAGGTTCCAATGTCAGAGACTGATTTTCCCAAACCAGACCTGTGGCTCTCTTTGGAATAAGCAATAAATTCTATCTCCCAAGTAAAATACTTCCTCACATTGTAAGAGACTAATTTTACAAGAACACCCACAATAAGTTAAACTCAAATTCAATTTGAAGCTAATAATTCCATCCCCTTTTATTATTTTTCAAACCATCCTGTCTCCCCCCAAATTATATAACTGTTAACAATTTTTTAAATGAAATTTCAGACACATATAACCTTTCAATTATAGCAAATTCAGTTTTTCATCAGAACCTGATGTCATTACTGCAAAAGTTATTCTCTAATAAAATTACATTTTAAAGTCAGCCATTAAGTCAAAAAAATATGAGGAAGACTTAGAGGGAGGAAATGCAAGAATGCTGAACATACTGCTAAGTGTAGCTTAATAAAGAGGGTTTCCGAAATATGAATTATACTCCTTTTGGAAAGATTCATTAATTTATAGTGATTATCGTTTCCCATTTAAAATTGCAATTGACTTGTATTTCTTTCATTGAATACTTTAAGTTCTGCCTCCCATAAGCTGATTCTGCTATTAATACTGAGGAAAAGTTATGAATTTTAAAGTAATGCAAAATAATAAAATAAAAATGATGTGCTTAAAAAAAAAACTGGGTGGCTTAAAACAACAGAAATGAATTGTCTCCCAGTGCTGGAGTTAATAGGCTCTGCTCCTTCAGAAGCTGCTAGGGGAAGGTTCTTCCTTGCCCCTTCCAGCCTCTGATAGCTTCAGATGTTCCCTGGCTTGTGACAGCAGGACTCCAATGTCTGCCTCTATTTCTATATGGCTGTCTTCCCTCTGTGTCCCCCTTATAAGGACACCTGTCACTACCCTACTTCAGGTGACCTGATCTTAACTAATTACATCTATAATGACCCTATTTACAAATAAGATAACATTTTGAGGTACTAAGGGGTTAGAGCTTCAACATATCTTCTTGGGGGACACAATTCAACCCAAAACACCAGGTAACTACACATATGCCATGAATGGGCCTGCTAAATTTTATCTGTTTTGTGAGCAAATTGGAAATAATTGTTTAAAATGCTGCTGGAGAAGATTCAGAAGAAGAGTAATTGAATCAGTCAACGCTCATCCTTGCTAGTAAAAACCTCAAGTTATTCATACATCTAGTGAATTAATGGATTCACTTTTATGTTTAAATTGTATGGATTGTGCTTCAATCATTCCCTTTGTAAAACCATATAATTTACCTACATATGACATAGGATAAAGTCTGAAAATATGTATTTTATTTTTACTATTTCTAAATAAAAATGAACTTAAATTAAAAACTATGGATGGCATCTTGAAAGCCGTAAAAATAAATAAATAAATAATGACTGAGTGAGCTTCAAACCAAACCAAACCAAACTTCTGTCAAGCAAGTGGCATTCTGGTTAGATAAGACCAAGGAAGAGTCCCATATATGAAATATAAGAGAATTTTTAACAACTGTATATAAAATTGAGCTAAATTATATATGACAGGCTAAAAGGAGAGTTGGAGTTGCCGGAAGGGGAAGACCCATCAGAAGTGTAGGAGTCAGGAGAGCCAAGCCCTCCCACAAAGTGTAGCAGGGGTGTTGGGTTTGAGGGGTAGGCAGAGGGGATGTTGCTTTGCCTCCCCAAATCTTCCTACCTCCTGCCCACAAATGTCAACACTATACAATAAATAAAAAGGTAAGGAATGAGAAGAGGTTGTTTCTGTCATGACCATCTCTTTCCTTTCTGACTTCCTGCCAGGTCCATAAGCAGTCAATCCATTGTGGGGTTTTCCTCCCTTTCTGTGAGACTCTCTTTGTGTCTTGGGGGAAGGGACTACTTTTGTACATACATACGAGTAAAGAAAACTTAAAGTAATGTCCCTTTTTTGTCATTGTTTTGCCAGGAACAGTATGTCTTCATCCACGATACACTGGTTGAGGCCATACTTAGTAAAGAAACCGAGGTGGCGGACATTCATATCCATGCCTATGTCAACGCGCTCCTCATTCCTGGACCAACAGGCAAAACGAAACTGGAGAAGCAGTTCCAGGTGAGTTTTCTTGGAAACCTCTTGGATGTCACCACAGAAATGAATGTCCTTGTATCTTCTCATGTGAGTCAACAAGGTCATGTGGATGGGTTGAGATCAATGTCGATACAAAGATTTTATATTTGAACCATCCTTGTTCTTTACAATAGGTTACAATACCACGCAGTAAATTTCAAGGAGAAATGTTAATTCTGACTGGGGAGCAAGAGGAAAAGTTCTCAGAAACCCTAACCAAACTTTTATAAATGCAAACTTGGTTCAGGAAAGGGAGGGCACAGAGCATAACAGAATGAACAGACATAACATATAATACAGACCTTACAAGTGCTCTTTTTACTTTGAAAAAAACCAGACCACTTAAGCATGAGTGCTATGGCTCAGGCTGTTCCTGCTACTCTTTGGAAAAATCTGTGTCTCACTTGAAACCCCTGAAACAGAGAAGGCCACGCCTGAACAATAGCTCCTTCAACCCTAGTTTCTCCCACTTGCCCTGTCTCGAGCAGTAAACCAGAGAGTAGAGCATGTTTTGTTCTGTACGATACTTCCCACAGCACTAGTTCTCTGACTTTCAGAAATCAGTAAGCAAAGAATTCAGAAAGTGGGCGTTGCCAGACCTGCCAGCTGGGACCAAAGTATTTACCCAGTTGCAGATTTCCAACTTCTGCAGGAGGGGAGTAGGGGGACACGCGGGGTGGGCAGGGGGGTGCGGTTGCTGTCTTGCTCCACGTTATTCCTATTCTATCCTCTTACTTCTCAGAGTTCCTAGAGAAACAGGGCCAATTTCTGAAGAAAGACTATCTGGAAATAGATAAAAACCCAGGAGAGTTAACAAACCTTGAAATTTCACTTACTTCTGCTTTTCCCCAGCCTACAACGCATAATAGAAGTTAGCTGCCATGCATTGCCTCAGGCCTTTGCCTTCTCAGTCACTACTTTTGTGCTTTTGGAGGTATAAGAGAAAGATGCCAGGTGAATGCTGAACTTAAAAACTCTGGTATTAACTGATCAGCACCTAAGTGGACACATAGGAATTACTATGGGTAATTCCTATTACCCATAGTATTAGGCAGGTGGGAGGGGGAAGAAGAGGATGGGTATATACATACATAATGAGTGAGATATGCACCGTCTGGGGGATGGTCACACTTGAAGCTCAGACTTGAGGGGAGGCAAGGGCATTATACGTAACCTTAAAATTTGTACCCCCATAATATGCTAAAATAAAAAAAAACTGTTCTCAGAAATACATAAATGTTTTGCTGAGCCGAGCTTATTTGAGTCACAAAGGAAAGCTTATAGCAGTGGTCTCCGACTTTTTTGGCACCAGGGACCAGGTTTATGGAAGATAGTTTTCCCACAGATGAAGGGGTGGGGTTGAGCGGGGAATGATAGAGCTCTGCAGCCCATTCCCTAACAGGCTACAGACTGGAACCAGTCCACAGCCCGAGGGTTGGGGACCACAGCTTTAGTGAGAAAAAAGTATGTACTTTGGATTTCTGAAACTGAAAATAAAAAAATGTAAAATATTAAAATTAGGTGTTAAGATAGCTTTTCCCTAATTATACACACACACACACACACACACACACACACACATACAGACATGCATGTGTTACCCATTTTCAACAAAATTCTCATTTAAATATGATTTGCCCCTATGCAATTGCATAAAAGAATTAATATGGCTTACGTTGAATAATCCAGGATCAAAATGAAAATATGAATAAGATCAGAATCCAGTTAAAAAGAGAGATATTTGACTTTATTTCCTGTTAATATCATAAGTAGGGGAATGTAAGTGCATATGTGTTTACTGTCCTATAAAAAAAATTATTCAAGTTTATGCATAGAAACATTTCATTGAAATATACTGCATGTCTATGAACAAATACTTACCAGACATCTACCAGATGCCAGGCTTTTGTTTTCAGTACTAGGATACAAAATTAATTTTTTAAAAAGAGAACACACCCAGCATCTACTCTCATGGTATTTGCAGTCTAATGGGGGATACAGGTGAGAAAACAGACAAACACAAAGCAGTGTGGAAAATGCCATTACAGAGGTGAAACAGGGCACTGTAGGAGTACAGGTAAGGATGCAATTTATCATGGAAGAATTGTATAAAGCCTGTTTAAGAGTTGAACACAAGGCTTGATGATTCATTGGACACTGCAGAAAGGCAAGAGAGATGAGCATAACTACACAGATTCCACCTTGGACAACTGGGAGGGTGGTGATATCATTCATTATGAGTGAGAATTCAGGAAGAGGTGCTTGCTGGAGAGGTGTGTTGGGGCAGAAGACAGTGGGATTACTTCTCAATCTTCCTAAGTTTGAGGTGCTTGGGAAGTATCTCAGTAAACATGTGTAGTTGGAAGTTGAATGCCACGTCTGAGGCGTAGGAGAGTGACCATGCCTGGAGAAATGGATTTGGGAGAGATCAGCTTAAAGATGGTTACTTGAAGGCTTAGAATTGGATAAGATAGCCAATTAAAAATGAGGCCTTTAAGAAGGCTTGGGAAAGATTATTTAAGAAAAATTGTAATTAAATAATGAAAGGCTAGCCCACAAAAGAAAGAAAAAGAAAGCATCAGAGGGTGGGAGGAAATATGGGACAGTGGGATAGAATAGAATATAAATAAATAATGTTTCAGGGAGGAAATGGACAAGATGGTAAATGCTAATGACAAATCAAATATGTCATCGATGGAGGAGGAAGAGGCCTTTGATTTAAGCGTGAGAATTTTCCTAATATCCTTTATCAGTTAGTCTGCCCTTCCCTCACTAATTTGTAGTGTCCTTTCTATCACATAGCAGATTTCCTCATATGCATGATTCCTCTAGTTGATTCATCAGTTTTCCAGTACTGTTATAATATTTAATAAGTCTTCCATATACAGTACGAAAGAATTCTATCCCTTATTCCTTCTTTTCCAGTATAGTTTGGATGATTTGGGCTCTTGACTTTACTATGCTAAATGAAAATGTGTTCTCCTGCTGAAAATTTGTTTGATAGCACATTGACTTTTATATTCAATTAAGGAGAATCATCTTAACAATATTTTCATTTATCAACATGATATTTTTATGTATTTGGGCCTAATTCTTTGCTCTTCAATTCAGTTTAATAATTTTCTCCATACATTTAGTGTACTCTTTAAGTGTATTTTTTGAGACCCTGGAGTTTTTGTTGCTGTTTTGTTGTTGTTTACAGTTGGGTTCTTTTTTGTTCTAATACATTTTCTAATCACCCATAGCCAATGAATAACAATGTTATTGATTTTTTATATATGTTAATTGAACTCTAATAAGAGATAATATTCTCACTTTTGTTTCTCTTGATGTTCTTTGTAGACAATCATATCAATATGCAAATCCTTTTCTATTAATACCATTATACTTTTTTTATAGTTTAACCCAATTTCCAATATAATGTTGAATAATAGTGTCAATAGCAGATATTCCTTATCTTTTCTTGAATCTACTATGAAAATTTCCAAGTTTAAGTTTTATGTATGATATTTGTTTTATGGTACATACCTTCTATAAGGCTAAGAAATCTTCCTTCTATCCCTAGTTTACTGAGAGTTTTTGTTATGAGCAATTTAGACTTTTATTGACTACTTTTTATGTCTCTATTGAAAGGGTCACATAATTTTTATACCTAAATATATTCATATTTTATAATGTTAAATCATCATTTCATTTTTGTAATGAACCTTATAAACTCTATTTGATCGGTATATGAGGGAAATCACATTGCTGGATTAAGTCACTGATATTTTAAATAGGATTTTATTGATTTTGGCCTATAAATGTCTTGTACTGCCCTTGTACTATTTGGTATCGAAGTTATATTTGTTCAATATGGTAGTTGGGTTAGTTTTCCACCTGGATTTTTATTAACACTTGGAATTTTCTGTTTCTTAAAAATTTGGTAAAACCTCACATTAAATGCTTTTGAGCCTGGTTATATTTTGGAGGTGAGATTTTAGGCAACTTATTTGATTGCTTAATGGATATCTTTAACAAATTTATTTAATAGTCTTGTTGGATTTTTCATTTCTTTTTGAGTGAATTTTAGTGCTCAGTACCTATTAATATTTCTTCTTTAATGATTGTCTTTTCATATTTATACTTCATTGTCATTTATTAATTTGTAGGGGTTCTTGATGTCTTAAATGTCTGTTAAAAAAGTTGTAAATGTCTTCAGTCTCTTTAATCACACAGAGATTTTATAACCAATTTATTTCTACAAATTATGTTTTTACTTAAGAAGTCCTTCTCTATCTTGAAATCATCAAAAAATACTTTCTGATATGAGTATTTTCTTATAATAGTTATAAAGCTTTGCTTTCATCTTTAATTATTTCATCCATCTTCTTTTTTTTTTTTAACTGCTTCTTCACTAGAGAGAGGACCGTCTTCAATATATTTTAGTGTTTGAGTTATGGTAGAGATCTAGTTTTATTTTATTTTTCTGTGTGATTAAACAGACTAAAGATATTTGCAACTTTTTAAACAGACTGTAGACTTACATTCAAGACATCAATGTTCCTTAAAAATTAATAAAATTCACAGTCTTATAGAAATCAAGGAAATGCAAGTCAAAACCATGATATACCATTTTTATCTAGCAGACTGTCAAAAACTAAACACTAATGAATCCTAATTTTCTGTAGAAACCCTCACATATGTGCACATTAAGAAACATGGAAGAGATACTCATGGCTACAAAGCTTGAAATAAAACATTGGAAATTACCCAAACATTCAGTACTTGGGGAATAGATAAACAGAATCTAGATTATTCTTGTAATAGAGTACTAAATAACAGTATCTTATCTTAGTTGGGTCCTGTGTGTGTGTGTGTGTGTATTTGAGTGACTTATATGAAATAACCTATATATATATATATCCTATATATATTTTTAACTCCCTTGCTCAGCTCCTGAGTCAATCAAATATACAGCAGAGTGACTATTCTACAGCCCTAAAGCAATGCAACAGGGAAAAGAACAGAACTTCTTCCATCATCCCTGGTAAGTAATGTTGAATCTTGAAAAAACTTTTTCTTTACAACAAAATCCTTATAGACAATTTAGCAATATTTTTATTACTATGCCTTCAGACAAATGCTGTACATTCGGATTTTTCTATATGGCCAATATGTAACTGTTGAAAAGGACTCATAAACTCTTGAAGTTTCATCTAAGAATACAAAGTGAATAGAAAAATTAGCTTATAGATCAGAGACACTCAACTTGAGAAATGCAACTGTATTTTACATTTGGCAATCAGGGAAGAATGGTACAGTGCTGTGAACATGACTGTTGACAGTGAATGTTCTGTATTCCAGTGGAAAGATCGAGGGTTGGCATTTCGTCCCTGAGTGGGGAAGGTACAGACTACATCAATGCCTCCTATATCATGGTAAGTCAGAGAAGTCACGGGGGAGACTGCCTGCTACCTTGTGTTAGGGGAATGAAAATGAGAGTGGGCGGCCTGCAGCACAGACTGCAGACACAGGCAGCACCACTGGTGGCTGCAAGCCCCCAGTCCACAGCAACAATAGAATAACAGCATTCCTTGATGCTTTTATGTGTGCTGGGACTGAAGAAACCTTAAGCAAGACACATGAGTAAATGCAGAAACCCAAACTCACCATTCAGGGCTGATGAATAGACATAAAACTTATACTTGCCCATCTAAGAGGCTTCATTTCATTTACCAAAGGCAGAGCCCCTGAGCAAACCCACATGCACCAGCTTCAGCAAAGCCCAATCTCACTGACATTACCACTCCAGGTTTGCAGCACAGTTCTCACCCTGCAAACTGGGCTCACTAGGGACCTGGATTTCTAAAGATACAACACTTTCATTCTGTATTTAGGGCTTCTATGTGAGGGACAAGTGCCTTAGTACCTGTTATATGACCTTCAATATCATTTTCAGGTCAATCAATCACAAAGCCTGACTTTCAGATGAAGGGGTCCTAATTCCTATTCCAAAATCTCTGCTCTATTTATCCAGAAAAGAAAATATTAAGGAATATCCATGTAGAAAACAGGAAGATATGTGATAGTGGTGTCTAAATACCACTGCAAATAAGCCCTTGAGGGATAGGAATGGGATCTAAAAGCAGAAGGGAGTAGGAGAGCCATGATTTTATCAAGTGACATCATGGAAATCATGAATAATCCAGTGGTAATGGATTCCAGGTTTCTGTAGCAAAATCTTCAAGAGGTGTCCCTAGTTCCTCTTTTGTAGAAGCAACCAAGGTGCCCGGACACCAAAGGTGTCCTGTTGTAAGTAGATAGAGGTGAATTTGGCATTCTGTCAGTGGGACTTGTGGAAAGTGAGAAATGTAAACTCTCCTGTAGATTTCTACTCTTTCTAGTACAGGATACACTTTCCATAAGCCATTTTGGTAACTATACTCCTAGTGAAGTGTTTTGGATCAAACTCTTTTGAGTTTTGCTATCAATTTAGCTAGTACAAAAGAATGCCAACAGGGCATCCACTGGCATGGATCCCTTGGGCAGTCTCACCATGAGAGATCAGATTGCAGCCTTGGCTTGAATGACAGGACCACAGTGTGAAAGTTTAAAAGTCCTAAATACTTACAGATCCTGGAGGGTACATGGCTCACCTGGGGGACACACACACAGAGGTTAGGGAGCACAAGCTTGTAGAGAGAGAAAAAGGACTTGGGGGCCAAGGCTGTTATTGAGTCTAGCCCATTGCCCCAACAGGTGTCCCAGGTTACTTTTAATTGGTGGGTTTAAAGCAAGTAAGCACACATTCCAGGAGGTCATGTAGTGACTGAGAAGCAGTCACTGTGCCCTATCTACACAAGACTGTGGTGTGAGGGTCAGCAGCACCAGTCAAGTAGGATGTTTCTAGCTGTTCCATAGTGAAGCAGTCATCAGGGAGCTTTATCAGGCAGATATCTGGATCAACCACATGAAAGAAGGAACTGGAGGTGGAGAGTATAGAACTGAAAACTGTGTCAAGGGCCCTCCTGGATGAGAATGTCCAACTTATATTTAAAAGGTAACATAAAATTTATAAGCATTCACTACAAAATGATAGGTAACCTTAAGTACTACACTTAACTTCTTAAGGTAAACTTGAGCATAACACTTAACTTCTTAAGCCTCAGTTTCATGACCTGTAAAGTGGGGAGGGCAGACAGATCACAGTTCCAATCTCATAGTATTGCCATGAGGCATAAATGACATGAGGAAGAAAACACTTAGTGCTATAGCTAGCATATAGAAAGTGGCTGGTAAGCATTGGCTATAATCATCAAATTATTATGTATAGATACAATTTACAGTTCAAAAGACTACTTTGACTTAAAGTCCATTAACTTATAAATGTTTATCTGCATCTTTAAAGGCAAATGCCAGGGCTCTTCTTATCTTCTCTTTGGTTTTGTAGGGTTATTATCAGAGCAATGAATTCATCATCACCCAACATCCCCTTCTCCATACCATCAAGGATTTCTGGAGGATGATATGGGACCATAATGCCCAGCTGGTGGTTATGATTCCTGATGGCCAAAACATGGTAAATCCCTAGGTCACTTTTAATATTTTCTTTACAGGAGAAATATCATGTCACAATAGCCAGAAGTCCAGCATACAAACAAGCAAAGTAATTTTGTTTTATACTAATAAACTAATGTTATTGGGGTCATACTTTGTCTGCTTTGGGCTTGGTTTGATTATACAATCTCCTAGGTCAAAGTGATGAATGATAGTTTAAAATGAAAGTAGCTTAAAATTAACTTTTACTCTATATACTTCTATTTACATTCTTTAAATAGTGTGTTAAGATATTTGGAGTTCTCTTAGTTTAAGGAGGTCTCTAGAAATTAAAAAAAAAAAAAAAAAAAAGACCGAGTTGGATGATTCCTAGTATAGCAAGGACTTTTTTAGTATAAGAAAATCAGGATAGCTCAGTCTCCTTTTTATTTGTGTTTAGAGAACTCAAAAACTAAAACAAAATAAATATTTAATTTAGGCTTTACATATATACTTAACTTTGATGTTCAGTTCTTGTCTATAAAGTTATACTGACCATTCCAAATGAAGTTAGAAATTGCTGAGCTCTTAAAATCAATTGAATCTTCTCTACTTGGTCCTTAGTTAGAGAAGCAACAAGTTTACCATTGTTATTGATAAACTAAGAGCCCAAAATAACAAGATAATAACAGTTTGGGGTTATAAGTATAATATTTTGTTCTGCATATCAGTCTGGTTGAGGATACCAGGAAGATTTTAAGAGTAAATGTTGAGATTCTAAGAAAAATTTGAGTTAAAATTTCTGTGCCAACTAATTAACTTTATTTCACAATCTGACTTATTAGACTTTTTATTAAAATCTAGACTCTTTGGCTTTTAATCCTCCAGGCAGAAGATGAATTTGTTTACTGGCCAAATAAAGATGAGCCTATAAATTGTGAGAGCTTTAAGGTCACTCTTATGGCTGAAGAACACAAATGTCTTTCTAATGAGGAAAAGCTTATAATTCAAGACTTTATCTTAGAAGCAACACAGGTAAGGATTTAAGTTAACAAACTTTTCACCTTAAACGTGTGGTAGACATATGCTGACTTAAGACTCTTTCCCAGAAAAAAAAGGATTCTGATTTTTCCAAATTGTGACAAATAACTCAAATAATTGATATTTCTTGTCAGTGTCATTTTCAAAATCTTATAGAATCATTAAACAATTAGTTATCATTGAACTATACCATTCCTGAATTCTACACACACAGGAAATCAAAGATTTCTCTTTTACTCCAAATCAGTGGCTAATAGGACTTAGGTTGAACATAAACATAGTAAAAAATAATGTTATTGACTCCAAAATTGTGTTTTAATACAAGCCCTTACCTTGTATTCTCTTAAGTGAAATGGGAAAAACACTACCTACCAAAACTGACTGTTCTCTATCAATGCAGAGAGTTGGTGAGTGATAAGTGAAATAATGAGCTGATAAGTGAAAAAATCCTTCAAAAACATGCACAACAAACAATGTACAATAAACTAGGATTATTTTACTAGACTCTTGGTTATGTAAAAAATACTGTTGTTATCTACAAGATAATATATTGTTCTATAAAACTCTTGGTTGTATGTAAGGTATTTATTATTGAATTATTTGCCAATAATTATTTATGTAGAGCTACAGTAAAATACTAAAAGATCCTAATAATGATGACTAAGGCATGTGGGTTGGAGTATTTTCTTAATCAGAAAAAGATTAAATCATGTTTTGGATGGTTTAAATGTTTCACTTTACCCCAATTCTGAAACTGGTAAACAATATATAGTATATAAGAAGATTCTGTGTTCTCTAGAATATTTGAATGACCAAAATTTATAAACTTGATAGTACAAATAAATTAATAATTTAAACAGTATACCAACGGAATAGTATCCTACTTGATTAAAGCAAAAATAATGAACATGCTGATTCTAGCTGCACTGATGAACAATGCGGCCTTAAGAGAGTGAACTTCCATTCCGTGTTTGTAAAATGAGGGGCAGAAACTAGAAGGCTCCTAAGGTCCCTGAGAGCCCTTACTATCCCATGCCCATTTCCACCTGCGATTGTTTCCTCTCAGATCTGCCATCTCTCATGCCTTTCTCCCATTTTTACCAGTTAGTAAGAAAGTTTATTATACGAATAATAATCAGTAGATATCCATTATCTTGTCATGCTCATTATCCTGACCATGTCTAATATTTTGCTTGGCCTTGGGAAACCAGCACAGCAGAAAATGAACTGAAGAATACACATTCATGATTGATCCCAGTTCTGCATGTCTCGTCTATGTAAATCAGCGGTTGTCGACACCTTAATCATCCAGGAACCTAACCCAGGGGTCAGCAGTATTTCTAAAACAATGGTCCAGAAAGAAGGAAAGACTAAAGTGAGGGATTCTATTAATTTCAGACATTTATAGGCACTTTCCCCCAAATCTCACAACATTTGAAGTTGGTATACAGGTGACGGTCTATGCTGTATTAGACCAGGGTTCATTTTATAGTATCCAGGAAGTTTGGATTAAACTGCTGGGATTAAACTCAAAAGCTAGGGCCTTTATTTATTTATGAGGGCTATTGTTTAACATTTATTAAATATTGAATATATTGAAATCTATAAAATATGTGCCAGGTATAAACTGATACAATAAATCACTGTGTACCTGTCACCGAGTTCAAGAAAAGCCTTATGTTTGAAGTCTTTCATGTGCTCCCTATTTCATTGTATCCTCTCCTCCTGACAGAAGTGGCCTCTTCCTGAATTAGTACTTAGTGCTCTCTTAGTTTACTTTATAATTTTACCTGTTGTCTTTGTTTTCCTGAAAACCATTTTGTTCACTTTTGAATATTTTTAAACTTTTTATGAATGATGGCATGTATATTTTTCAGAGATTTACTATTTCCTTCATTATTATTCTGCTGAAATTTATGCATATGATTGGGTATGGTGCGAATACATTTACTTCTACTGCTTAGCATTTCAGATTATAAATGTACTTTTTCTATTCTACAGTTGGGGTATTTCTTATTTATTTGTTGTCGTTTAATTTGGTTTGTTGCTCTTACTAATAGTGCCAGTACAAATAGTTTTAGACACATGCAAAATTTTCTCTTGGGTATACCTGAGAATTCCTGTGCTGGATCATTGTGTATGAGCATCTTCAACTTTATTCAACCACAGAGTGGTTCCAAGCTACCGTTCCATCTAGAGTGTGGAAGTGATCTGGAATCTCTACATCCTTGCTGGTGCTTGTGGTGGGAATGAAATGACATCACGTGGTGGTTTTAATTGCATTGCCCTTGTTAAAAGTGAAGTTGAATATCTGTACATAAATGTATTGGCCATTTAGTTTTCATCTTTTACAACATGTCTGTTTATGATTTGGGGCCATTTTTCTATTAGATTATTTATCATTTACTTACTGATTTACCAAAGGTCTATTTGTATTGTGGATACTAATCCTTTGTCAGCTACAAGTGTTGCAAATACTTTCTCCCAGTTTGCAATTTGGCTTTTTTAACTTTCTTTGTGATCTTTTGTGGTAGAGTTTAATCAGTATGAATTTATTCATCTTTTCCTTTCTGGCTTTTATAAGAAATCTATCATTTAGTGTATTTAAGCAAATTCCCTTCTTATCCTGAAATCATGAAGATACTCTCCTACATCATTTTCTAAATGTTTTTTAGTTCCACCTGGAATTAGTTTTTTTTTTTTTTGTAAACAAGGGGCCTGTTTGGTTATTTTCCATGTAATGCTCATTGTACCGGCTCCATTTATGGGTCAGCAATATCAGTTCAGTCATAAATCCAGTTTCTATATATGTATGGGCTTGTTTCTAGGATCTTTATGTTATTCCCTTGGTCTGTCTTTCCATCCCCCTGCCAAAACAGCAGTGTCTTAATTCTTACAGCTTATAATAGTTATTAATATAAGATGAGCTAACTCACTGTTTTGTTTTTCTTCTTTAAGGAATATCTTGGCTGCTTTAGCCTTTTGCACTTCCATATAAAATTTAGGTTCTGCTACTTGTTTTTTACATGTAGCATATTGAGTACACTTTTGGGAACTGGGGGTCAGAGGTTTAAGAGACTTCATTCACAAAGTCTGGTTAGTCACATAAGCAAGAATCTGAACTGGGACCATAGTTGGACCTAGATCTCCACCTCCTTGCCAGTATTTTTTCCCACTGTGTTGTGCAATTTCATTCTTCCCTTAGGTAAGCCTGAGGATTGGTGGTATTTGAAGAGGTTTATGCTATTTTCAAAATAAATTTTAACACTGAAGATTTATTTTTAAAATTTAAATTTAGTAGTGCAGACACATCTTTGGTACATGTTTCATGGTTTACTGGCATTGATATGATACACCCACACATAAGGTTTATTTTTAGGATAAAAAAAGAAATTACACTTTCTAATCCTGCTGAGTAAACCTATGCAATGGTAAATGCGGCATCACAACTACTTCTTCCTTCCATGACAGACGTGCTGCCACTACTAATGCTCATTCATGCATGCCATTCAGTTTCATTACCTTACTGTAATTCCTAATTTTCCCCAACTATTCCACCCATGATAAACTGTCACAAACCAATATTATTCTTCTAAAAACATTAAGTTTTCTTTCTTCTTACAGGATGATTACGTACTTGAAGTGAGGCATTTTCAGTGCCCCAAATGGCCAAATCCAGATAGCCCCATTAGTAAAACTTTTGAACTTATAAGTATTATCAAAGAAGAAGCTGCCAACAGGGATGGACCCATGATTGTTCATGATGAGTAAGTTCCACATATTAAACTGTTTCAAAACTGAGCATTCTTGGCCGGGCGCAGTGGCTCACGCCTATAATCCTATTAAATTTGTAGGGGTACTTGATGTCGTAAATGTCTGTTAAAAAGTTGTAAATGTCTTCAGTCCTTAATCACACCAGAGATTTTATAAACCCAATTTATTTTTTCTTTACAATTCTACAATTATGTTTTACTTAAAAGTAAACTTCTCTAATCTTAAATCATCAAAAAATATTTTCTGATATGAGTCTTCTTTAATAGTTATAAAGCTTTTGCTTTCCATCTTTAATTATTTCACCATCTTGTTTTTTTTTTTTTTAACCTGCTTCTTCACTAGGAGAGGAACCATCTTCAATAATTTTAGTGTTTGAGTTATGGTAGAGATCTAGTTTTTATTTTATTTTTCTGTGTGATTAAAGAAGACTAAAGAATATTTGCAACTTTAAACAGACTGTAGACCTTACATTCAAGACATAATGTTCCTTAAAAATTAATAAAAATTCACGTCTTATAGAAATCCAAGGAAATGCAAGTCAAAACCATTGGATTACCATTTTATCTAGCAGACTGTCAAAACTAAACATAATGAATCCTAATTTTCTGTAGAACACCCTCACATATGTGCACATTAAGAAACATGGAAGAGATACTCCATGGCTACAAGCTTGAAATAAAACATTGGAAATTACCAAACATTCAGTACTTTGGGAATAATAAACCAGAATCTAGCATATTCCTTGAAAGAGTACTAAATAACAGTATCTTATCTCCCAGTTGGATCCTGTGTGTGTGTGTGGGTGTATTTGAGTGACTTATAGAAATACCTATATATATATATAATATATATATATATAATATATATCTATATATATTTTTTAACTCCCTTGCTCAGCTCCTGAGCAATCAATATAACAGCAGAGTGACTATTCTACAGCCCTAAAAAGCAGTGCAACAGGGAAAAGAACGTAACTTCTTCCATCATCCCCTGTAAGTAATGTTCAATCTTGAAAAAACTTTTTCTTTACAACAAAATCCTTATAGACAATTTAGCAATATTTTTATTACTATGCCTTCAGACAAATGCTGTACATCTCGGATTTTTTTCTATATAGCAATATGTAATGTTGAAAAGGACTCATAAACTCTTGAAGTTTCATCTAAGAAATTACAAAGTGAAATAGAAAAATTAGCTTATAGATCAGAGACACTCCAACTTGAGAAATGCAACTGTATTTACATTGGCAATCAGGGAAGAATGGTACAGTGCTGTGGAACATGACTGTTTGACAGTGAATGGTTCTGTATTTCCAGTGAAAGATCGAGGGTTGGCATTTCGTCCCTGAGTGGGGAAAGGTACAGACTACATAAAATGCTCCTATATCATGGTAAGTCAGAGAAGTCACGGGGAGACTGCCTGCTACCCCTTGTGTTAGGTGCAATGAAATGAGAGTGGGGCCGGCCTGCAGCAGAAGAACTGCGCACGGCAAAGCACCAACTGGTGGGCTGCAAAGCCCCCAGTCCCACAGCACAATAGAATAACAGCCATTCCTTGATGCTTTTATGTGTGCTGGGACCTGAAGAAACCTTAAAGCGAAGACACATGAGTAAATGCAGAACCCCAACTCAACCATTCACGCTTGATAGAAAGACATAAAACTTATACTTGCCATCTAAGAGGCTTCATGTTCATTTACCAAGGCAGAGCCCCCCTGAGCAAGACCCACCATGCCACCAGCTTTTCAGCAAAGCCCAATCTCACTGACATTACCACTCCAGGGCAGGCTTTGCAGCCACAGTTCCTCACCCTGCAAACTGGGCTCACTAGGACCTGATTTCTAAAAGAATTACAAACTTTCATTCTGTATTTAGGGCTTCTAGTGTGAGGGCAAGTGCTTAGTACCTGTTATATGATCCTTTCAATATCAATTTTCAGGTCAAGTCAATCACAAAAGCCTGACTTCAGTGAAGGGTCCTAATTTCCTATTCCAAAATCTCTGCTCTATTTATCCAGAAAAGAAAATATAAGGAATATCCATGGTAGAAAACAGGAAAGAATATGTGATAGTGGTGTCTAAATACCACTGCAAATAAGCCCTTGAGGGATAGGATGGGATCTAAAAGCAGAAGGGAGTAGGAGAGCCTGATTTTATTATGACTCATGGAAAATCATGAATAATCCAGTGGTAATTGGATTCCAGGTTTCTGTAGCAAAAATCTTCAAGAGGTGTTCCCTAAGTTCCTCTTTTGGAGAAGCCAACCAAGGTGCCCGACACCAAAGGTGTCCTGTTTGTAAGTAGATAGAGTGAATTTGGCATTCTGTCAGTGGAACACTTTGTGGAAAGTGAGAATGTAAAACTCTCCTGTATTTCTACTCTTTTAGTACAAGGATACACTTTTCCATAAGCCATTTTGTAACTATAACCTAGGAAGTGTTTTGGATCAAACTCTTTTGAGTTTTGCTTATCAATTTAAGCCTAGTACAAAAGAATGCCAACAGCATAAAAACCTGGCATGGATCCCTTGGGCATCTCACCATGAAGTCAGATTGCAGCCTTGGCTTGAATGACAGGACCACAGTGTGAAAGTTAAAATCCTAAATACTTACAGATCCCTCGGAGGGTACATGGCTCACCTGGGGACACACACACAGAGGTTAACTGGGAGCACAAGCTTGTAGAGAGAGAAAAAGGACTTGGGGGCCAAGGCTGTTATTGAGTCTAGCCCATTGCCCAACAGGTGTCCCATGGTTACTTTTAATTGGTGGGTTTAAAGCAAGTAAGCCACACATTCCAGGGTCATGTAGTGACTGAGAAGCAGCTCACTGTGCCCTATCCATACACCAGGACTGTGTGTGAGGGTCCAGCAGCACCCAGTCCAAGTAGAATGTTTCTAGCTGTTCCCATAGTGAAGCAGTCATCAGTGAGCTTTTCAGGCAGTTCTGATCAACCACATGAAAGAAGGAACTGAGGTGAGAGTATAGAACTGGAAACTGTGTCAAGGGCCCTCCTGATGAGAATGTCCACTTTATATTTAAAGGTAACATATATTTATAAGCATTCACTTACAAAATGATAGGTAACCTAATGTACTAACACTTAACTTCTTAAGGTAAACTTGAGCATAAACTTAACTTCTTAAGCCTCAGTTTCATGACCTGTAAAGTGGGGAGGGCAACAGATCACAGTTCCAATCTCATATATTGCCATGAGCATAAATGACATGAGGAAGAAAACACTTAGTGCTATAGTAGCATATAGAAAAGTGCTGGTAAGCATTGGCTATATCCATCAAATTATATGTATAATACAATTTACAGTTCAAAAGACTACCTTTGACTTAAAGTCCATTAACTTTATAAAATGTTATCTTGCATCTTTAAAGGCAAATGCCAGGGTCTTCTTATCTTCTCTTGGTTTTGTAGGGTTATTATCAGGCAAATGATTCATCCATCACAACAACATCCCTTTCTCCATACATCAAGGATTTCTGGAGGATGATATGGCACCAAAAAAAAAAAAAAAAAAAAATAATGCCCCAGCTGGTGTTATGATTCCTGATGGCAAAACATGGTAATCCCACTAGGCACTTTTAATATTTTCTTTCAGGAGAAAATCAGCCACATAGCCAGAAGTCCACATACAAACAAGCAAAGAATTTTGTTTTATACTAATAAACTACATGTTTTGGGGTCATACTTTGTCTGCTTTGGGCTTTGGTTTGATTATACAAATCTCCTAGTCAAAGTGATGAATGAAGTTTAAAATGAAAGTAAGCTTAAAATTAACTTTTACTCTAATATCTTCTATTTACATTTTTAAAATAGTGTGGTTAAATATTTGGAGTTCTCTTGTTTAAGGACGGTCTCTAGAAACTTAAAAAAAAAAAAAAAAGACCGAGTTGGTGATTCTAGTATAGCAAGGACTTTTTAGTAATAAGAAAATCGGATAGCTCAGTCTCCTTTTTATTTGTGTTTAGAGAACTCAAGAACTAAAAACAAAATAAATATTTATTAGGCTTTACATATATACTGTTAACTTTGATGTTCCAGTTCTTGCTATAAAGTTATACTGACCATTCCAAATGAAGTTAGAAATTGCTGAGTCTCTTAAAATCAATTGAATTCTTCTCCTACTTGGTCCTTAGTTAGAGAACACAAGGTTTTATACCATTGGTTGATGATAAACTAAGAGCCCAAAATAACAGATAAATAACAGTTTGGGGTTATAAGTATATATTTTGTTCTGCATATCAGTCGTGGTGAGGATACCAGGAAGATTTTAAGAGTAAATGTTGAGATTCTAAGAAAAATTTGAGTTAATAATTTCTGTGCAACTAATTAACTTTATTTTCACAATCTGATTATTAGACTTTATTAAATCTAGACTCTTTGGCTTTTATTCCCTCCAGGCAGGAAGATGAATTTGTTTACTGGCCAAATAAAGATGAGCCTATAAATTGTTGAGAGCTTTAAGGTCACACTCTTATGCTGAAGAAACAAATGCCTTTCTAAATGAGGAAAAGCTTATAAATTCAAGACTTTATCTTAGAAGCACACAGGTAAGGATTTTAAGTTAAAAAACTTTTCCCACCTTAAACGTGTGGTAGACATAATCTGACTTAAGACTCTTTCCCAGAAAAAAAGGATTCTGATTTTTCAAATGTGACAAAATAACTCAAATAATTGAATATTTCTTGTCAGGTCATTTTCAAAATCTTATAGAATCATTAAACAATTTAGTTATCATTGAACTATATCCATTCCTGATTTCTACCAACAGGAAAATCAAAGATTTTCCTCTTTACTCCAAATCAGTGCTAATAGGACTTAGGTTGAACTAAACATTAGTAAAAAATAATGTTATGACTCCAAATTGTGTTTTATACAGCCCTGACCTTGATCCTTAAGTGAAATGGGAAAAAACACTACCTACCAAAAACTGACTTTCTCTATAAATTGCAGAGAAGTGGTGAGGATAAGGAAATAATGA